GCAGAAGGTTGTCACGCTCAGTCCTTGCTTCAAGGCTTCATTTATCAGGAGCCCTTGCCATCCATAGGTGCTTTGTTAGCTGGTACTGAGGTGAAGGTGGGGTCAGGTGAGGCAGAAAATGCCACAAGAACAACACCACAAATGTTCTCAAATGATTCATCTGCACAATAGTACCACATGCATCTTCATGAAATTAATCTTGTTCTTCAGGCTCCAAACTGAAGAAGTCACTCAAATATCTGATAAAAGATAGTGACTTGGTTCAGACAATTATGTTATTTGCAAAGTCGTGTCCGACCCATCATGACCCCATGGACAACATTCCTCAAGGCTTTCCAATCCTCCACCATCCCCCTGAGTCACACTGACTGCTTCAGTGATTCCATCCAGCCACCTCATTCTCTGCCATCCCTGTCTTCTTTAGCCATCAATTGTTCCCAGCATTAGAGTCTTCTCCAGTGAGTCCTCCTTTCTCATTAGGCAGCCAAAGTATTTGAATTTCATCTTCAGGATCTGGCCTTCTAAAGAGCAGTCAGGATTGATCTCCTCTAAGACTGACGGTTTGATCTCAGGTAATTACCAACACTCAAGGGTTGAATATAGATTGAGTGTGGGCTGTAATTGAATGGTAGGCTGTTGCTGAAACATGGTTGTATTTTTGGAACCCAACTGCACTAGCCATTAATAACCCATGAAGAGAACTCTTGATCCATTCTTGGGTTATAAACAGCAAATTGTTCACCATGGTTTGTCATCTTGGCTGGGTTGAGATATAATACATTTTTCAACAACCATGCTTCAATGACAACTCATGCTCAACCAGGGGACTATCATGCTGTCTCACCCCAGTCAGTCCTTCTTTCTCTTCTCATCCATTGGTCTTGAACTGTCATCGTGAAGGTTCTAAGATTTTCCTTAGCCAATAGTGTAAATCTGTTTACCTATCATTGGAGACCTAATTCCTTGAGTGACAGCAGGCTTTTCAGCTCTAACTGAGGTGCTGTGTTGACTTAGACCCAGACAGCTAGATTCAGAAAATGGTGAGCTAGCAGTTTTACATATCCAGCAGGTCAACAGCCTGCAACCTGTCAGCCAGATGCAGCCTGCAGGTCCTCCCTGTCAGTTCTACTGCCTTCTCTTCAGCTCTTCTCAGCTGTTGAGCTGCAATCACTGTTCACAGCAGCATGAGAAGTAGGATAGCTGAGAAGGAAGGCGCAGCAGTGGGAGGAAGGGAGAGTGGCTGAGTCCTGTTGCTAGGCTGCTCATGGAGGAAAAGGTCGGGCTCTCTGTCCACATTTATTTATTTATTTAACCTCCATACAGCCCAATAACCAAAGTTTTCTGGCCAGTTTACAACAACACATTGACAGTTCAGTATAAAATATGCCACATTATAAAATCTCATAAGAAGGTTGCCACACAAAATGTAAAACCAAATTTTAAAAGCCTGTAAAAATTCCAATAACTGAAACAAGGTAAATCCTGGGACCTGATTAAGCAACGAATAAAGCCCCAGTAAACTAATTAAATGCCCTGCAGTAGAAGACAGTCTTAACCTGGTGCTGCAAAGATATTAAGGTAGGTGCCAGGTGGGCCTCACTGGGGTCACCACTGAAAAGGCCCTTATTCCTGTTGCCATCACTGGAGCCTACCTTGCAAGTGGCAGTTGGAGGCAGGCCCCAGATCTTGATCTCTGTGCCCACAATCATTTTCTGCTCTTCTGTGCCACATGGTAACATTGTCTTAAATAAAAAGCCACTGTAGTGTAGCAGTTACATTGCTGAACCAAAGAGTTCCAAGTTCAATTCTCCTCCAGCCATAGACTGCGGTAGATTATTTTGGACCAGACCAGCCTAAATCTCTTTTCAGACTAGCCTATTTGTGAGGAAAAAAGGTGGCTGGGTGGGGATGGGAGCAATATGCTGCTTGGATACTTAGAAGGGAGGATGGGATATTCATTAATAAATACCATTCGATCACTGGTCCATGTAGCCTAGAGAGGACTGGAAGGATGCCATGTCCACCAGCTTAACCAATCTTGAGTGATGATGAAGTTGCAATCCAGCATCTGGAGAACAATCTTTCACTATGCCTGTTTGAAGAATGGTCTAGCATGAATGGCCTTACCCCTTCATTAGAAATGGTAGCAATGTGCAAGAAGCAACTGGATCCCTCGAGATTACAGTTTTCCATTCTGTTCATTGAAGAATCCTCAGAATTCTTGCTTGACCTGTGAGACAGAGTTGTCTTACAGGAATGTAAAGCCACCATCTTACCATGGACTCCATCTCCATGCAATCCATCCTCATTAATCTAATTTTTCTACACACTTCACATACACTAAGTGGATTTTCAGACTGAAGCTGGAGGTGATATACATTAATAGAAACAGAGACATGCAAAGGCTGAGGAGCTTCTGGTGCTACCAGTCAAAAGACATTGTGCTGTGGTTCCTGCTCAGTGGATTTTTGTGGAAAGAAAAGGCCACCTTAAAGCTGCTACTGCCTGTCATAACCCTTGCTTAAAGGAACACTCATTGTTCAAGACCTGCCACTTACTTAGCATCCAGGCCACCAGCTAGATCTGGCCTATCCTTCCCACTGAGGTCAATAATATTCTAATATATATATTTTAATTGTTATTGTTTAAATTTATTGTGCATTTTATTGTATGTTGTGAGCCGCCCCGAGGCTTCGGCAAGGGGTGGCATAGAAATGTTTTAATAAATAAATAAAATAAAATAAATAATGCAAGAGAGGGCAGGAGCAAAGCAAGGCATAGAACCTTAGCTGTGCTGTGTATCATTTCTGTGAGGCACTGGGTGAAATCATCAGGGAATTTGGAGCCAGTATCACCAGCATGCTGACAATACGCAAGTCTATTGCTCCTTGTCATCTGACTCAGATGAGGCTGTTCAGGTGCTGATCCTTTCTCCGGAATTAGAAATAGGATTTGGATGAATCCCAAAAGATGGAGGTCCTGTGACTAGCTGGTTGCCATATCTAGGAACTGGGTGTACAGCCTGTTCTTACTTGAATTGCCCACCCTTCCAGAAAGATATGGCTTTGAGGCCTTTTGCCAGATTCAGCAAGTCACCAGCTGTATCCACCAACTACAAAACTAGCCTGGCTGTGGTGGTCCATGCTTTGGTAACCTCTGCATTCGATTCTTCTAATATGTTATATGTGGGGCTGTTCTGGAAGACAGTCTGGCAGTTTCAGCTAATGTACAATATGTCTTCTAGGCTGTGAACAGATGCAGGCAGGTAGAAGCTCACTGCAGTGCATCTGAAGGAGCAACACTGATCGCTTCTTTGGTATGAGGCCCAAATCAATAGGACCCAATTACCTGAAGGAACACCTCTCCCTATACAAGCCAGATTATGACTTAAGATCTGCTGAGAAGGCTTTCCTCAAAGGACCTTCCACATGTTATCATCCTTTGTTGTGACCTCCTTGTGGTGACTTGAGTCTTTCCCTAAAAAATTTGATTGGCTGTCAGTTTTGTCATTTTTTTAAGCACCTGATTAAAGACTTTGTTTGCCCAGTCATTTTCACTAGGTGTTTCACCCTTCTATATTTGATTGCCTTTTAGACTGCTATATGAATTATACAATTTATTCTTGATGGTATATTAGTATTAAATGTCCATTTGAGGCTTTTGTTTTGTATACCACATATCATTGTTTTAATAGTGCAAATACAAACTCTAAACAGCAATTTGCTAGGGAAACTGTTACTTGTTTCACTCTAACATTTTTTCCGATCTGGACCAAAACATCTTAGGAAGTCTGGACAGACTCAGATAAATAACTTGCTATAACTATCTGCAAGCAGATATTGTTCCCTTTTTCTCCCTCTTCGCAACAGGGCTTGCCCCTTGGCAAGAAAATGTTTCAGCATGAAGAAGAGCAGAATGTGCCCTCTTAACAACCTTGAATCCAACCACAAACACACTTATTGGGCAAATATTGCACATTCTTGAGCTTTTGATTGTGTTCAAATGAATTCTCTACATTGTTGATTTTAAAAAGACACATTTTCACTCTTCAAATTGTACATTTCAGTACTTTTAAAATGTGATGTTTTAAATTATTTTATTTTATTGCAATTAAAAGTGTACCCTTTTCCCAAGTCAGAAACAAAACTCAAGGTACACATCTGAGGATGAGAGTAGAGCAAAACAAATGTGGAGGTGGAGACTGGAGAACCTTAATGAGTTTAAGAATTGCTGCTTCTCCTATCCCTATGCTTTCCCCTTCATCTGTGGAATATGATTATCTATCTTCCTTTGCTTGTTCCCTCCCTCCTTCACTCTCGCCACACATGCACTCGCACATACACACACACACTCGCTCTGAGATAGAGAGAGAGAGAGACCGCTGCCCAGTGCTTGGAACCTGAAAACAACCACTGTTTATTTAAAATGGAAGCAGAAGCTTTTCTCTCCATGACTGCATCAAACAGGAAAGACATGTGTGAGACTGATGACAGCAAGGTTAATTCAACTAATACTGTATCAGTTTCACATTATTTCTAAATAATGGCAATGAACTGCTACATTGAAACTTTGCTTATATGAAACAAAGCACAAGGTTTGGTGGAGCACAAGGTTTCCCTTTTCCTTTTCTTATTCGCTTCAACACTTTTGCTTTCCTCGCCTTTATTTATTGTGTCATGCATAGTTTCTGCATCCAGGAGCTGAGGTGCTAAGAGGTCTTATAAGAGGGTGCGTTAGGAAAGGGACAGGCTAAATGCATTCTACAAGGTCTTCCATAAAAGTTACTCTAGTGTGTACATGCTTGCATCTATGTGTTACTGCAATAATTCAGAAATAAAAAAGTATTTTCATACTGTTGGTTAAATTGGAGACATCTAAAGGAGTGGAGAGCGTACTTAGTGTACAGCAATGAAAATAATGCGGCATAATTGGGTTTCTTGACAACGGATTCTTGACTTGAGGAAACAACATGAAATAACAGCAATTTTCTTTCTTTCCAGCGTTCAGGTGGAGCCTTAGCTATTCCTTTGTGTGCATTTCAAGGGACTGTGTCTCTCCATGCGCCCACAGGAAAAACTCTCTCTTTATCTACATATGAGGTAAGCACGGAAGGACAGAAAATTACTCCCACTTCGAAGAAAATTGAAGTGTATCGCTCCAAGAGTGTGGGTCACGAGCCAAACCCAGAGGATTCTCCAACTACATTTGCCGACACCAGTGTGAAGATTCATTTAGAGGTGCTTGAAATTTGCGACAATGAAGAAGCCATGGACACTGTGTCCATCATTAGTAACATCAGCCAGTCATCTACCCAAGTCCGGTCTCCATCCCTGCGTTATTCTCGGAAAGAAAACAGATTTGTCTCATGTGATTTAGGGGAAACAGCTTCGTATTCACTCTTCATTCCATCAAACAATCCTGACAGTGATATTAACATATCCATCCCTGATACTGTGGAAGCTCACAGGCAGAATAGCAAAAAGCAACATATGGAGAAAGAAGGGTATCAAGAAGAGATTCAGATGCTAAACAAAGCATACAGAAAGAGAGAAGAAGATGGTGTCAACAATTAGAAAAGACAAAGCAAAAGCAATGTAACTGAGAATGAAGGTATTTGGACATCCAGTTTTGCATGGACATTAGATCAGTATTAAGTATATGGACTCAAGGGGGGAAAACCTTTACAGTACAGTTTAAGATACGAAGTGAGAAAGCTCACAATTCTGCACATTGTTCAGCAGGTGCTTAAAGGAACAATCGTATGTTTCTTGAAGGACAGCTGAAGGGTCACAGGGGGCTCCAAATCTCCACTCTCCACCTTTGAGGAGGGAGATCCGCTACTGGAAATCTCCCAGATGTGCTGGCAGAAAGCTCCACTGCCATTGCCATACTGTCAGTGGTGGGGACAGGAATGGGGCATTTTAGGGCTGTGCTGGAGGAGGTCACAGACTCTAAGCTCTGTCTTTTCCCTGACATGTCTCAGAAACAGGCCCCACGTTCTGCCAGCCAGGGCATAGCACATTTCCTTGCTGGGGGAGAAGGAGTAAAAGAAACAACAATTAAATTATCCCACATTATGTCTCACTTTGGCTGCTGTCAGTCTGCAGGGCCCACATATGATGGAGTAGCTACCTATAGAAACATGCAAGTGCAGGTGGCCCAACAAATCCCCATTCCAGTGTTTCATATTCCTAATTTTTCATTATTAGCATCTTTAAGAATAAAATTTTAAAAATTATTCTAGAGATACACAAACCCTGACCCTTTACTTCAGTACACATTTTCTGCTTTGCTGCTCTAGCACTTCGGATATCTACAGATACAGCCTGAGCTCCCAGATATCCTTGTTTTCGGGAACTAAATATTAAGGATAGGGGAGAATGTTGTGTTCACTTCCTGAACCAGTACATGGACTAAAACAATTATTCCTTGATGTTCATTCCTCTGAATTTTGTGATGCAATCCTCTGATTCAAAAATGTGTACAAAAGGACATACTTTAGTAAAGAAAAATGTACAAAATCCCATTCTATGAGGGAAATATGCTGAAAAAATACATACAATGCAAAATGTGCATAAAATACATAATTGGGAATAATCTGAATGAAAATTCATGCTTATTTGTGAGCAAACTTCTCTAAGGATGCAATCCAACTGAGGTGGCCATATGCTTCTGAACATAGTGTGTTGTAAGCAGCCTTGTCAGTGAAGAAAACATGGTGGATGCAATCTTTACTGCCTCACTCCTCTCACTCTACATTTTCACAAGATATCTGTTTTCATCTATTTAACTGGGGTGATTTGGAGCAGGAGGGAAGGAGGCTGGAGTGCCATGAGGAACCCTTGAATCCTGGACACTCCCCTTTCTTCCTCACATTCTATCGTGCTCTCATATTTGCTGGCTGAATAGCCAGCCTTGGATGACAGCTGGCAGAGTTCTGTCTGCACCAATTGTGAGGGGGCAGGGGAAGGGCTGGAGCTGCATTCCCCAGCTTTGAGGTTAGAGTGCTGTGTCTGATCTTGGAAGGGGAAATCTGGATGATGCTATGAACCCTGCTCCCCTGCCCACAAGCATTAGCCATAGGATTGCTTCTAAAAATGCAAAGTGAGGCAGAAAGAAGAGAGTGAAAAAGTAACTGAAAAGTGAAAACGTAAGAAGTTGCAAGAAACCAAAACTGACATATCCACCATCCCTACCAAGGAAATAAATTGGATGCACACTAGATTGTGTATCGAAATGCAGATAAATATACGTATCAATCCTCCATTCAGAAAAAATATGAGTTCAGATAACATTCCACATAAGCAGAATTAAAATACCTTTATCAGAATCTGATGGATTACTGATACTATCCTAAGTATTCTGTGCTAGGTCTTCTGCTGTACTTCTGCAAAACCCAGTTTATTCATTACACAGCATGCAAGGAAAGCAAATTACATGTTCTATTTAAAGAGTTCTAAGACAATAGAACAAGTATGTTGATTTTCTCGTTTTAATGAATGCCACTCAGATACAACTGACATCATACTTTCATTAAGTCTGGGTAAAATCAAAATTTAATTCATCATCATCTTGTAAATATGGCCACTTGCATTTTGATGTAACAGCTTTGTATTGCATTAATAAAGTATAATAAAGTTTAAGCCTTGTGTTAGAACTTTTAGCACAGACTATCTGATCTAAATACTGTGATTTACCTGAGTGACAGTTTGGCCTCTCTGCATATGAAAGTAATAATATTTTTATGTATCACAAATTCAACACAATGTCAGTATAGCAACAACAGAACTTGCTTCATGATCAACAAAGGACCAGACACTTGAATGCTGAAGTTGCTAATTGAAGGATCTTTATGGTGTGAATTAAAACTAATTCAATGTACTTACATATCCAATGTGTCATATTGTGCTCCTGTATGTATGAATGGACTAGCTCTTCACATCAGTGAAGTGGGTAGCACCAAGTGTACAGGTTATACTTTTCATTGAAAATAATGAATGAACTGTGTGCAGAGGAGTTTTCATGAGAAGCTTCAAACCCACAAGAGATACCGGAATTTATGCCTGACAGAATTGACAGAGACAGCAATGGATTATTTCCAGAAATGTGGTCCAGTTTTTTTCAGACTGCATGGCAGTCCAGTTCGGCCTTCCCAAACCCAGTGCCCCCTTAATGTATTGGAACTACAGCTTCCATAATTCCTAGGCAACATGACCACTTGTCTGGGAAGTTTAGAACTGTAGTCCCAACACATTTGGAAAATGCTACACTGGAAGATCTTTCCTTAGTCCCAAACCGAGAGGAACATGAATTCACATGCACAATCTTTCTACAACCTTATATTAGGTTCAGATTTACACTTTGAGAATAGCTTCTATAGCAAGTTTAGAAATTCACCAGATCCAGTGGTGCTTGTATTTTTAATAACTTACGGAAAGCTGAGACTGCTTGAAGCAAGCTGTTTCCACAGAGATGCCACAGTGCAGTGACTGCAGAAGTGATCACCAACTGGGAAATACCAGTTGCCTGAATCAGCTATTCCTTAATCTGGTCATGCACTTATGACGGCAGAAGAACAAGGTGCGGGTGGCTGGCTGTGAATCACTAGTGCTCAATTTTCAATCTGTGTTGAAGTGACTGGTCTGTTAATCATGGCAATTAATTCACCTTTCATTCTCCCCAATTTTCATTAACATAAAAGAAGATTTTCCTTTAGGACATTTCTTAAACCTTTAGATTATTGATTCAGAACGCCTCCTGTTCAGTTTTGCAGTTACTGCTGCATGTTGAAACCCGTGAGTACAGAGAGCATTTGGGCTGGGTGTGAGGACAGGGCTTTTTAAAGTGCTGGATCCTCGTGTGCTTACAGGCCTCCAAACTTCTCCCTACAACTAGGGCTGCCATTTATGCTCCAGTGCTGGGCTTGTGCCCTATTAATTTCTTAATGGGGTAGAATCAGTGATCAAGTGTGGTCATCCCAGCAGAACCATAACCTTCTTTTTCTATGGATATAACTGAGTCTGGCCTAACCGTCCCACTTATTTTTTCCCTTCCTGCTTTTAGTAGAGGTCCTTAAAAGACTTCCAAAATGCTTACTAAAAATCCAGTTCCTATCTTAACTCCAGCATCTGAAAGCTGGACAGCTGTGCAGACCCAATATTGGTTTGTAGAAGTGGCTTATAGCAGCTTCTGCAAGGAACAAATGTGTGGATAATTTACAGATGGGATAGCTGTGGCCACTACAAGTGGTACTAATGCACCAGAAGAGATAAATGATGTAACATAGGAATGAGTCCATGGAAGTGGAAAGAAATGAAGAATAACATTTTGTGAGCTTGAATCGATAGGGTGCAGAATATGATTCACGGTGGAGTATAGAACTCCACCAGGCAATTTTGCTAGACCTACTAGAATTCTTCCCTACCCCATGTTTGTCCACATTTTCTATAAAATGTTGGTTTAGGTTAAACCTGGTTGCAAATTAAGAGGACTGAATCTAATGAAGTCTGCCTACCAACAAACAGAATCCGCGGATAGCATGGATTCTTCCTCTCCATACAGCTCCTACACACACTCCAGATATGCTCCAGAGGGTGGAAGTACCTGCAGAACTGATCTGGGAGGCACAAGGGTGCAAAGAATAGGACATCCTATTGCACAATTGGGAATCCATTCCTGTGATATTCCCATACATCCCATGATGCAGCTCCATGTGAGGGGAATCTACAGTCTTATCAAAAGTGGGGCTTTTCTCCACTGAATTATCTTGAGAACTTTATTTTGAACAACCCCTTCCAAACTCAGGTTGCAATACAAGTATAGGTAAGAATTGGTGGAAATGAGGGAAATGAAACTCCACATCACCAAGAAATTTAGCTCAATATTCCTCAGAAGTTTCTCTCAAACAGAAACTTTCAAATTAACCTCAAAATGACACATCAGAAAAATTTCAGCAGCCTCTCAAGTGCACATGGTTTGCCAATAGAAGCAGTGTCACGATGTAATTAAACCCCCTGTAGCCATTTGGGCAACATTATTCTTGAAGTGGCAATGATTCTCTGAAAGAGTATTTTGGTCCAAAGGCATCAGAAATATTTCAACCATCTCTGCTTTTAAAGTCCTGTTCAAACTGTTTTGTTTTTTAGAAAGTCCAGCATTTTGTGTAGGAAATGATTTTACAGATAATATTTTAATACTGTAGCTGTGTTTATCTTGGGTTAGATTTTAGATGATAGATTACAATATAACATTAAATTGGTCTTCATCTCAGCCTAATTGTCAAGTACTGTACAACTGTTCCATTACTGAAAGTGGATAAATTTCCTTTTATGCCAATTCCATAAACTGCCTTCTGTTCAGTGTCTAAACTGGTTTGTGTTTCATTTCCAAATGCTTGGTAAAAAATTCAGAGTGTGATTGACAGAGTCTTATTTGTCAATCAAGAGCTGCTTGTGCTTCGCTCAAAGGAGATTCTTCCTTCCCCCTCAGTTCATGCATCAGTGAACGCTGAAACTGGAACATTGCTTATCGTTTTTAGAAACCCAGACAGATTTAAATTTTTAAAACATCTTTTAAATATCTAATGAGAAATGATTGTCTTTTCCCCTTTTGATTCCCCCTCCCCATTTGTGACCTTTAGTGTTGTGTTGGAACACAGACTTGACATTTGTGAGCAAAAGGATGGTTGCTAAAATGACCTTTCTGGAGGTGACTTCAAAGAGATGAGTTCTAGCCAACCTTGTGCAGGAAGCAAAGTCTTGAGAAAACAGACAGAGACCCATCTGGCTCCTGCACTTACTGGAGTAGTCCTACTTTTGAGTACTGAATAATGCATTTCATATCACACCAAAAACGGGGAGGCTTAATATTCAGACATTCTCCGTTAGATTCTTCTCTACCCTGAGTCTAATTCCTGTTGAGCTGGACCGCAGAGCCTAGCCGAGCACTGGGCTTAGGCTGCCTGGAGCATTTGGAGTGCTCTCGTCCTTGGTAAAGCTCAACTTGGTTGCTTGCAGAGGCTGGGGAGGCTGTTATTCATGAGTTGTTTTGCAACCTGTTCAATCACAAAGGTTCCAGAGGTTAACTTACAAATATAAACAGTATTATGGAAGTCAGTACTGTGTTAAAATCATTCCATAATTCTTTAGCCCAGACAATGAGGAACACGTACTTATCCTAGTGGTTAGAGTGTTGGAGTGGGAATCTGAGAGCTCCGAGTTCTAGTCTACACTCAGCCATAAATTCCACTGAGTGTCTTTCCCTACCTTTCAGCTTTACCTACCACACAGGGTTGTTGTTGTGAAGATAAAATGGAGAGGAGAAGAACCTTGTAAGCCACTTTGGGTTCCTTGCAAGGGAAAGAAAGGTGGGATCGAAGTGCCATCATCATCCTCAGAGTCAAACCCTTTTGTCCCAGATATTCAGTAATGACAGGCATTAGTTCTCCAAGGTTTCAGACAAAAGTATTTCCAGTCCTATTTGGAGATGCTGGGCACTGAATCTAGAGCCTTCTATCTGCAAAGCAGGTGCTCCACCAGTGTGCTACAGCCGTTTTCCAAATCAAGGAAGTATGGATGGCATCAATAGTTATCAACTTGGGAAAATTACTTCCATGTAAAGATGTTCAGGACCAATTAGTAACTATGCCAACTGGCTGCTGAACTGTAGTTTGTGGCTCATCATTATGGGACATGCATTGTTCATTTTGAAAAACTTTCAAGAAGCGATATTGTCATCAGTCTTCCAGAGCAGACATTAATTCATAATGGTAACTTTATCCCCAAGAATTGTCTAATAGGTTTTGCTGTGCTAATGGATGATTTCCATAAACACCTTGTAGGGTTCCAGCATTTAGCAGAATAATGAATAAAAGATTGTGTTGAGTGATAAGTGGTTGTGAGCTTTCTGCTTTCTTACATGCTGCAAAGATAACACTCATGGGCCAAAGAATAAATGGATAAATCATATCTTTCATTCTTTTTCCCAAACCCATAAGCAATGATCCACCAATTAATTCCCAAAGCGCATAAACAATGTCGTAATTATGCAATGTCTGCTTTGCAAGACAGATAACAATGCATATTCTTATGCTCAGCCTGATTTATGACAGTAGAACAGTTCACTGGGACATAAAATCTTCAAGTGGCCATCTCAACATGTTAATAAGCCATCAAAGACAGAAGTTTATTCATGTCAGATATACATATGCAGCTAGTGATCATGGGAAAAGTAATCAAGCACTGCACATTTGCACCTGAACCATGCCTGAGCACTATCAGCTCACTGAAAGATGCTGAACACGGCAATATGCTCTGAATGCCCAGCACCAGCACTTACCCCATGAGGATGCATTCAGACGGAATATCACTGTGACTGGTCCACCCCTGACCACTCATTCATTTGGGTCTGCAGTGTGATGTTTGCTCCTCCTGCAATGGACGCAAGATGCTCTTTCACTCCGGAAACTGCAGGTCGATCTCTTCCGTAGCTGCTGTGGAGCTGCACATGAAGAAATACCTGAAGGCAGCAAAGAATGGCTGAGATGAAGGTTACTGGGTGGTGGGGTGGAGCAGAGAGGCAGCGCATTCACAGAAGTTTTCTGTCCTTTTGGAATTGAGCTCTGGGGTGAAGAGCACAGCAAGCAACAAACTCCAGTGAGGGTAATATGAATTCAGTTGCCAGACCAGGCAAAGGAGAAGCTGAACATACTTATTTCCAGGGATGTTCATCAGGCATTTGTTAATATTGAATGCTCTCTTCTAAAAACCACAGTTCAAGAGACAGCAACAGGAACTGTTTTTTCAGAAGGGAGCGCTTCTGAAAGGTGCTAACACCATGTTCTATCTTTCATTTTATGTACCACCTTTTCTCCACTTGCAAAGACATGCAAGGGTGCATTCATGATCCCCTTTCTTTCCATTTTATCTTGACATGAAACTATGAGGTGGGTTAGGCTTAGAGTGTGATTGGCCCATAGTCACCCACAGAACTTCATGGTCAAGAGGGATCTAGAATCCAGATTTCACTAGTCCAATGCTCTAACTACTAAGCCACACAAGTTTTCCAGATCAAAATGTTTTCCAGGCCTTTTAACTGATTGTGTTCAGTCAATTGAATAGCTTTAGCCAGTATCAGTCAAAAACTTTAAATTACTTTGCTGTTCTCTTCAAAATGTTGACTTTGCTCTAAAAATGTTTACACATCAAAAGCAGGCCAATAAATCCAAGGGATAAGCATATACAGCACATATATTCCCAGTGCAAACCTTGTAATAATGTGGCATTTAAAACATATTTTGTTTTTCTTTTCAAAGAAAAAATGACTACTCCTTGTCTCCTGTCTTCCAGACTTAACCATTGAAGCTTGGAAGAGAATTCATTTTTACAAGTGAAAGAAACAGCTTAACAGGACCAGGTTGAATAGAAGAATAATCTACTGCAACACAAACCCAAAAGGGAATGCCACCTACAGTCCTCAGCTAAAACACTTTGGAGTATCAAGAGTCCACTTCCTTCTCACAGGCCTTATGGGTAGACCTGTACCTGCTTACAGACAGATTCCCTAGCCTAGCATTGCTGCTCACCTGAAATGAAAGAACTCTTACCACAGAGTTCTTTGGGAACCAGGTCTTGTGCAGACACAAATGCCAATGCTGTCCCCATGCCTATTCTGGCAACCCTGTTACAAGACCTATTAACATTCTCTACAACACCAGGAATTCATATACACCTGCTTATCTTCCAATACAATATGTGCCATAATTTGCCAGCTATTTCCTTTCCGCATAGGACAAATGCTTAGTCTCTAAGAAAAAATAAAATGAATGGACTTCAATCCAATGGCAATTTTTGTTATTTCAGAAAGTAACCGTCTGGAACAACATATGAGTACCAGAGCTTGCAGAACTTGTGGTGCTATGTACCAGCCAGAGGGTTAGAGGAATCAACGGGAATGTCAGTTGTGAGGTGAGGAGTAAGCTCCTCCCCCACAGCTGGGAATAACAGCTCCAATCAGCAACAGCTACCCTGCCTCTTCATAGATGGCAAACCGCACTGGTTCCAGTCTGAGGTTGGGAAACAAGTTTGCAGAGGGTTGTGGGGGGGTGGCATTTTTGGAGGTAGTGAGAGAGGCAATACAAGGAGCAACTGGGATACAAGAGATCCTGAGGCTGCTCCCATTTCCTTTCTTACTCCTCAAAATGCGGTTGCTAGATGTCTGCATAACTATCTAACAAAAATGCAGAATAGAAAGAATGGGTGGGGGGACAAAAATGGATGAATATGAGCCTCTCAGTTTGGAGACTTAAACTCATCTCTATAGGACTGCGCTATTACTTACTCCCAAAACCATAAGCCAAGTGGAGGTAAATGGAATGCATGTTAATTTCTTATTACTCAAAGTAATAATTCTCATTTCACTCTCCAAAGTTTCAGGGCTTTTGACAGATGTACTGAATACAAGTGACACATATAATACATACTTGCTCACAAAATGTTTAAGATTCAATTACATTTCAGATTCAGTCACTAAATTTCATGGTTTGTGCATTTAATACTTGACAGCCAATCCTACTAGATGTTTAATTACGTGAATGGGTCCTTGTACTTTCAAAAGGAGATTTGTTAAGTGCAATACTTTCACTAACTGCCTCTTCTGAATAATCAGAGGCCACATCAAATGTTAATCAATTTAAGAGATTAAGAAATAGCAACATTACCATGGAAATGTAATTATGTTCCTAAAACCACACACTATGATCATGAACCAAATCCAACATTTAAACCTAATGCCAACCTTTGGTGATAGATTGGAAAGAAAAGAGGGAATGGCTTTATGAAAATTGTCGACAGAAACAGACCCTGTAATTTTGACAGCTATTTGTAGGCATGGACACCACAGCCCTGCCCTTAGAGGAGCTGTGCAGGGTTGTCATGGACAGGACAATTTGGAAGGCTTTCATTCATAGGGTCACCATTAGTTGTAGATGCCCTGATGGCATAGAACTTATATGAACATGTCCAGAGAATGTCAATTTACAGAAGCAGAAGGGATGCCATGAGAACTCTTACACTGGATGTGGTGGTTACCTGAGCAGCAAAAGAGCAACTCAAAGATCTTCAGCAACTAAATGTACATGGAGAATAGACTTGGAGGAAACCAAGAAGGGGGTAATTGACTGGGTGCAGTTACTTTCAGCATAACAAATTCGGGACCCTACTTCCAAAAGCCAGTCTACCTGGTATATTTCAGTAAAAGTCAGACTGAACATTATGGCAGCTTTATACCGCCCCCTTCTTTTGCCGTCTATCTTATACCACCCTACCTGTCTCCAAAGGCGGCATTCCATTCCCAGAACACTTTTTACTGGCACTTTCGCTGGCTGTGGCATGGTGGATGTTCTCAGTCTAAACATGCATAGGATTGCACTGTTAGTGTCTAAACTGTTTAATGATGCTCCACCCATAAGGACCAGACTGTATTCACACAACGGCCAGTTGTGGCTTTTGCTTGAACTCTGGGAGAAAGAGCTGTGTGTCTTTCTCAGAAGGTGTCCTAAACTGGTGCTGCAGTCCTACTGTTTCTTTTGCAACTGCAGCAGCAAAAGGGATTTTGTGGTTCTAAAAATAATATAAAGGTACTTATACTGGCAGTTTCAGTTGACGAAGATAAAGGAGGCAGGATTGCAGACAACAGGATATTAGCAGAGACTGTCCTTTTCTTTCTAATGCCCCTGTCCACCATCAATTTCTTTTGGGCAGATCAAAACTGTCAGTGGTATAGAGGCAAGGTAGTGAGACATTAGGAAAATGTATTTCATTAAATTTGGAGCAGATAAATAGTGTGGAACAGAAAACAACGGACCTTGTGTAGCAAATATGACTCAAGAGTCGCTTATGAACACCATAAAGCCAAGGGAAAAAAAGAAGCATTAACAGCCATTGAAGCCTTCCATTTCCACTAACCATTTTAGAAAACAAACAAGACTAATACATAGAGAGCTGGATGAATAAAGCTGCCTCTATATGCAACAGCATCTCACACAGCGCTTTCAGAATTCATGTTTTAGTAATACCGATGCAAATTTAAAAGACATGCACAAAAAAGGAAGAACTTTACCGCTAACCAAGAAGTTTAAAAGTATTTGCAATTCAACAATAAACTGGTAATTAGATTCAATCCACTGTTTATAAACAGATTCAGATTCTTAGGCTTAAGAGAAAATTCATTACATGGAAAGAAATAATTTTAGCCAAAATAACTGTCGTTATGTTGATTTATTCTTGCTTGCAATAGTTGAAAAGGGAGTATTTTATCACCCTATCTGTTCAAACTGTAGGTGGAACATATCATAAGAAAAGCTGGGTTGGGATCAGAGAGCCCACTTGGACTGATTTTATCTTGGAATGCTATGACATGGGCAGACCGTTTCTTTTTTGCCTATTTAACTAGTTCAGAGGGATATGATACTAGTTCAGATTGCTTGGATTTTCACCAATAGAAAATAAGGTTGAGTGCAACCAAATATAAAGTAATGCACATTGAGACAAAACATTTCAAGTGGGCTCCAATCCAGAAAACTTTCTACCACAATCCATGTGCTTATCTTCAAGGCCTCACAAGATTCTTCACCATTTTGACTTCACTTATTTGATGATGGGAACTTGACTGGAGCCAGGTTAAGACAGCCCTCATAGACATGTCTGGGTACCCAGGGTCTTGAGGGGATTGCTCATCCCGAGTGTTTTACTGAGTCTCTCTGTTATTGTTCAGTTTTAAACTTTTAATGTATTTCTCATTTTATATTTTATTTTAATATCTGTTTCATGGACCATTGCAAACTGCCCAGAAAAGTTCAGCTCTTGGACCGTGCAGAAATAAACACTTTGGAGGGCTTCCATTCATAGGGTCACCATAAGCCAGAGATAACTGAACAGAACATAACAATAACAGCAAACTTGGTTAGAACTGTGCTGAACACAGAACTATTTTTCAAAAACACATAAACTGAATTTCATTTCACTTCATTTATTACATTTGTACACTGCCCCATAGCCCATAGGGCTCTCTGGGCAGCTAACAATAGAACAAATACACATACACACACAATAAAAATACAATAATACAATAGAGCAATACAATATTTAACTGTGATACAAAATCAAAACAAACCTTAATACAATAATACATAATGCAATACATAATACAATATAATACATAACACAATGAATAATTGTATTCATTAAGGTGCTGGTGGTGACCTACAAAGCCCTAAACTGCTTGGGTTCAAGGTACCTGAAGGAGTGCCTTCTTCCCTATGTGCCCTCCTGCCCCTTCATATCTGAGGCGGAGGCCCTGCTCCGGGAACCATCCTTGAAGGAGATCAATAATAATAAGAAATAGCTATAACCCCCCCACACCCACACACACACATAGAACATAATTCTATGTTCCTTCTTGGAACAAGTCTCATTAACATTCAAATCCTGCAAATGTGAAAGGGTAAAACTACCTGAGATGCACATATTTAGTGTATTTCCACTTAACATACCGTTTAAAAATACGTAAATAGAAACAGCAAATAGAAGATGGAATGTAACTATTTGCATCACAACAGGTGGGAAACTCTTGCTGAGATCCTGACAGAAATAACTGCTTCAAAATTTCCATTATCTTGGGAGAAGTTCCTAATGATGTTAAAAGAGCTTTCTTCCCAATACAATCAGCAGTTTTCCAATACAAGCAACTTCTTTTTGGAGTATGGCATGGAGGTAAACTCCCTCTTCTAGAATCCTAATAAACATCAGCCCTATTCCAGCACCACTAAGTGCATCAGAAGAGTTTTTATTTATTATTAGACTTATTAGATTTATATCCTGCTTTTTTCTTATAGCAAACTCAAAGAGGCTTACATAGTTCTCCTCCTGCTGCTTTCAGTCTTATCCCCACAACAACCTTACGGGGTTGGGCTGAGAGTCTGTGACTGACTCAAAGTGACCCAGTTGGCTCTATGGCAGAGTGGGAATTGGAACGCACATTTTAGTCTAGAGTGTAAGGCAAAGATACGTTCTAAAAACATGCTAATTAGTTGCCGGGCCCTTCAAAGGCTAACAGGTTTCTCACAGCCAGAGCTTTCATAGACCTCATCCGAAGAATGTCGTGTTATTAACAAGCAGCTGGCTACAGAGCAGGGTTGTGGCTCCTCAGCTGTTGCTGGGGCGACAACTCCGATCTGCCCTTGCCAGCATCGGCAAAGGTGAAGGATGATGGGAATCGCAGCTCAGCCATATCTGGGCAGCACACGACCGCACGCCCAGGTTTCGGCAAGGAACACCGTGAGGCGCCGCGCTTTTCGTAGCTCTATAGAACTCCCACTCTCGCCCTACCTATGCGTCACTGAGGCTACGGTTATCCTTTCCTTATCGAGAGGTTTTTATTTTTCTCTGACGTGCGCATTCGTTCTGATGCTGCCGCAAGAAAGAACATCGCTGGGGTCGGTCCCCGTGGAAAAGCCACAGGGCATCCCCCGCCGGCAGGACTCGAACCCGCACCGCTTGCCCTCGGAAGGCTGACCCGCTAATTGCCAGCCCACGCAGGCAGAAGTGTCCCTAGAACGCTGGCGAGCTACCCTGAACGGCAGCCACCTCACGCCCTCCCTTCTCCATAAGGGGCCACATCGGTAGCCTCCCCCTCCCCCTCATGGGCAAGGGGAAGGGGAAGGGGGGAGAAAAGCAGCCTCACGGTTGACGTTCGCGCCTGCGCGCCAGTTTCTTGCGTTTCAGGGCGGAAGTTGAGTTGGTTGTTGGTTCCGCTTCCGGCGCTCTTCGATTCCGCCGGCACGGGAGTTTCTCCATCTCTCAGCTTTTGGAGACAGCGCTAGGATGAGCTACGAGCACCGCCGGGACTGGAGTCGTGGGGCTGGGTCCCGGACTTCCCAGTCGTCGTCGTCGTCCTCCTCCTCCGCCTCGTCCTGTCGTGGAGGTGGCAGAGGCGGCGGTCGCGGCCGACCGCCCCCTCACCTGAAGGGCCGTGAAATTGGACTGTGGTACGCGCGGAGGCAAGGCGAAAAGAGCAAAGAGACCGAGAGGCAGCAGGTGGGTGAGGGGAGAGCATCGCCTCTCATTCCCTGCCCCTTAACTGGGTTCTCAGACCACCATCCTTGGTCCTCCCCCCACCCCAACCGTGCACAAATGAGCCTTGCCGAGCATCCTGTGGCTTGTCTCCGACACTTGACAAGCACCCGCAGCTGCTCCTGGCTCTCTGATGAATGTACCTTCGGCCGGTATTCTTGTGTAGTTAAAAGAGTTTTGGTCTGAGACTTAGGAAACCTGGGTTCCCGTCCCCACTTGACTGTGACGCTCACTGGGTGACTTTGGGCCAGAAACGGACTCACAGTCAAACTTATCTCATAGGATTGTTGTAATGATAAAATGGAGAGGATGAAGACTATGTAAGCTGCCTTGGATTCCTTGTAGGAAAAGGGCGGGATCTAAATATAACTAATAACACTGCATCTCTGCTGTGTTTATTTGACATGTACATTGTCTAGTTAATTCTTCCCCCCTCTCATTTTATCTTCAGAACAACTCTTTACATTTTATGATAGTTACATTACCACTGATGCCTATAAAAACTGTTTGTTATTGCAGTTCTCATAAAATCAATTCAAAAAGGCATTTTGCAATAATAATGATAAAAATACAAGTAAAATCACAATAAAATCAATAGTATAAAACTGATAAACCTGCAAAGACAATATAGAAACATAGCGAGTCAGAAGGGACCTCCTGGCCATCTAGTCTGACACTTGGCTCCAGCTGGCTCCACTCATAAAATACTATCATGATGCAGGGGCTAAGATAATCCAGGGAATAAAGTAAGAAAACAAAAACAGTTCAAAATATTGGCAAGGTTAGCCTTGAGAAGAGACTGTGGGGATATATGCTAGCACTTTTCAAGTACTTGAAAGGTTGTCACAAAGGAGGAAGCTAGGGTCTCTTCTTGATCATCTTAGAGGGCAGGATATGGAATAATAAGGTCAATTTACAGGAAGCCATGTTCTGTCTGAATATCAGGAAGTACTTCCTGACTGTTAGAGCAGTATGACAATAGAACCAATTATCTAGGAAGGTTGTGGGGTCTCTAAAGTCCACTAAAGGTATTCAAGATGGCTTGGACAGCCATCTAAGAGGCATGGTTTAACTTTGAGTCCTGATGGCCCTCTGGCCCCTTCCAGCTCTGCCATTCTATGATTCTGCAGTTTTAGTCTTTTTCTAATCCTGCAGCCACTATATTCATCAGCATTTTAATTGAATGTATAGGACAACCTTCCCTGACCTTGTACCCTCCAGTTGTTTGGGACTGTACCTCCCATAATACTTTACCATTAGCCATGTTAACTGGAGCTGATGGGAACTGAATTCCAAAATTTCTGGCGGTTGTCATGTTGGCGAAGGATAGCATGGCTTGGCATCCCACTCACAAATATAGCCTTCTGCCGAATCTGCAGTGTTCTGAAGGGCCCACTCTTACAATCTCTATCTGTATATGTTCTGTTATTGTTTGGATGGAATATGAGAAGACTTCAGTCAATTACATTAAAGGAATTCAGTTTCACAACTTCAAACTTTAATTGAAGCCTTTTTCACAGTTTTGTCATGAAAACACTTGCTGCTTGGGATTAAGATGTATCTTTCACTTCTAAATGTGGAGTTCAAATGTAATTTTCTTCTTTTTCTTTTTGCACATAGAGAGCTGTAGTGCGCATGGATGAGCGCAGGGAAGAACAGATTGTACAGTTGCTGAACACTGTCCAGAACAAAAATGAGAAAGAACAAGAAGCCATGTCTTGGTGGTCTGATGAAGAAGGGTAATAAGACTATTAGAACCTTATTTATTTATTAAAACATTTCATGCCGCCCGTTCGCTGAAGCCTCGGGGCGGCTTACAACATTATTATCTCAGTTCAACTTATTCTTAGTATAGTAATATAGCAATCTTATGGCCTGAAGACAGCATTGAGGGGGAAACAGGATTTTCTTGACTCTCCAGTTTTGAGGTTGGAAAATGAGATCTGACCATGAACCTGGACATCCATGGATTTCCCTTCACTGTTTGTAGCTGGTGCAGAAAAAGCTTTCTCAACTGCTGCTTCATGGTCAGAAAAGTGACCTCAGAGAAGGAATTTGGGGTGATTCTGGGAGAAGACCAGTGCTGCCAGAATATGACTGATGGCACCTCAGTCTGCTTCCTTCACCCTCCAAAGTACTGCCATGAGATGGGCAAAATAAATCCTTCTAACTGCTTTGCAGAAGTAGTAGAAGTACAGGGAAATATAGCTTCTGTATATCTCCCACTCTGCCTAGCATGCTTGCAGTCCTCCTCAGTTCAGAGAGGTACCCATTCTGGATTGCTCTCTAACAAATACGGGTTTCATAATAAACTAAATAAAGGGAAGTTTAATTTGCTTTATGTAATTATGCTGTGCAATTTGTTTTGTTTTCTCACTTTAGACAGTAATTTGCACACTGTACCATTCGCTGTTTGCTAATCTTATAGAGTAGCACAACCTAAGTTGGAAATATTTGCCACTGGAAATCATATTGGCTTAACTGATTAGTCAAATTTATTGAGGCTGATTATTTCAGGAACAAGAGTGAGTGAATGTGGTGGCAGCTTTGATAGTATTTTTCCAAAGCTTATATCATAAAGCTGTTTGAAATAGGATGTTAATGGCTAAAAGTAATGGCTAGCCATGTATGCACCTGTGCAAGCTGAAATCCAGATGTATTATTGATAGTTCATCCTGAATTAGTAACAGTTTTCCCCAGGTGAGCAGCTTAGCACCAAACTGAACCTGCCCTGCCTTTCTGCTTGTGCTGTTATTACAGTATTTAAGAATTCTCTGGTGACTGAATTAGTGCTTGTATTTCTCTTTTTAAATTTACCAGAGACAAGAGTCCATTGAAAAAAAGAGATCTGCAGAACTGAGAATTTATCAGTCGTGATGTTCTGTTCACTTTTACTTAGAACCGTAACAGGATAAAACATTGTTCCTAGGCTGCTATGGCATGGTATAGGAGGGAAGAAACAGCAATTGTCATCTTAGTTGCTTTCAGAACCCACTGACTTTAGTAGCTTCTTAGTCATAGATAGACCTGGCATTGTGCATCAGATCTATAAATATCAAATGTAGTTAATAGTGGGGTTTTTTTCATTGGAAAACTTATGACTGTATCTGTCCCAGGTATACAAAAGAGGCTCCTGCAAAATCAAAGCCTGTTGTTGTGGAGAAGCCTGTTATGGAAAAGACTCCAGAAAGAACTAAACCAATCCTGGAAAAAACATTCCAAGATAAAGATTTAGAGTATCTCTTACAAGAAAGTAAGCCAGATACTGATTTAGATGAACAGCTTAAAGAAGAATTGAAAAGGAAAAAATCTGATTCCAGATACATTGATATGCAGGTACTGAGAGCTTCTGAAGTGAAGAATGCAGCTTTTATAAGGCACCCAAATCCATCCTTTGAATTAAAGACCTGTTTCTTAAGGCAGTTATATTTGAGGCTGCTTTTGTGCTAGTGGGACTTCTGAATATACATGTATAAGATTGCGCTGTAAGAGAATTTAACTGTTCACATTTTTCATGGATGTTCATTGTATATACCTCTTAAAAGATGTGTGTTTGGTTAGACTTATATTTTAAAAAACAAATCAGAACTGAGTTTTATTCCACATTTATATACCAGTGTTACATACTGGTAAAATAACTGAATACAATGCAATAAATTGTGACTTACATTAAGCTAAGTATTATGGCAGACAGCCCAGTCTTCTCTGCTCACTGGTAAGAACTATGTGGTTGCCACACACTTATAGTGTGGGAAAGAAATATTCTTTGCCTGCCTTTTTTCCCTTAGTGCAGTACAATGAGAGGCACAGCAACATATTAAAAGCTTGCCTCTGTGTATAGTGTTTGCTTGGAGAGAAAAATAGCCAAAGGCTTATTCAGTGCTAGATCCTTTCCCAGTAAACTATATGTTACAATTGCATTAAACGTACTAATGCACCTGTGCCTAGTGCCTGGCACCAATACTTCATTCTTTTTGTCCCCAAGCCAAGCCCTTTTTATTTTCCCGTTATTTTAAGACTTAATTTTATTTTACTTGGGTCTTTATCAGATATTATTCTGTACCTTTGCTGTTGAACTTCTCCTGATAGAACGGGGTACAAAAGTTTTAAATATATAAATTAATTAATAAATTAAATTATACATTTTACAAAATACTGTAGCTTCACACCTGTTTGTCTTTTGCAGAGATTTCGTGAGAAACTGCCTTCTTACGGAATGAGGAAGGTAAATAGGCTGCTGGAAATGATGTACTTTCTTTTGTTATTGAAGACAATTGGAATTTGTAGGCTTAATAAGAACTTCTAACCTAGATGGACACTAAGATTTGGGGTGATCAGGATGGGAACTGTAAGAAATAAAGCATTAAGTTATATGATAGAGGATAATTTCTATGTAGGAATGAGAGCTTGGTGGTATGACATTGGATTAAAGTGGTTCAGTTCTTCATATAAGAGTTGTCCCCTGGTCTTCCTCCTCAGCTGGTCCTAAACCTACATTTAAAGTATTATTTTCTTTAGATGGCAATTTTACCTTAGCAAGAAGATTGCAATTCTCTCCTAATGAACAAGTTAGATAGGTGTTGGTAATGGATGTGAAAGTGGCTATGTGTGTCTTGATGCTAGCCTGAATATACAAAGCAGTGGTATAAGGTTGGATGGGGAGAATCTGCAGCAGAATCTGATGGGCCCATAACAGTCAGGTCTAAAGATGGAGGACATTGTTCCTTTCCTTCACATTTTCTGTTTTCTTACCTTTTGTTCTTTTTATTTCCTCCCTTTCTAATGTTTCCAGTGGGAGGGAAAATAGGCAGGACTGTACTCCTTTGTTATGGACCTATAGAGGGGATGAGAGGACTTAAGAACCAGTGTGTGTGTTTCCTGGTGATGGAAGGAGGAATCTAGATATACATGGACATTCCTAGGCATAGAACTCCAGTGGGAGTCAAAATGTGCAAATATCTGTTTGCTTCTATATAGCTGACAACATTGGGTAACATGATAAATTATAAACAATATTTGAAATATTAGACTGCTTTCTTAATTTAAATTTGTTTTTAAATGCACTTTGAACATTCATAGAGGAATGTGTGCATGAAAGTATAGCTGCACACCAAAGCTGTTATTGTGTATGTTTTTCTTTTTGAAATAGGAGCTTGTAAATCTCATAAACAGAAGTCGTGTAACTGTTATAAGTGGTGAGACTGGTTGCGGAAAAACAACCCAAGTTACTCAGTTTATTTTGGATGACTATATTGAAAGAGGGAAGGGTTCTTCCTGCAGAATTGTATGTACTCAGCCTAGGAGGATCAGTGCTATATCTGTAAGTGTCACTTAAATCAATTTAAAGTGAATTAGTAGCTGTGCTCAAAAACAAATATAAAGATTTTAACAAGGTACTAATTTCTTCAATGTTAAGGTAGCAGAGAGAGTTGCAGCAGAAAGGGCTGAAGTTTGTGGTAATGGAAAGAGCACTGGATATCAAATTCGTCTTGAAAGGTATTAGTAACTTTATAATCAAGGAAACTTTCAAAGATTGCAGAACATGTCTGAAACATTTCCTAGTCAAGAGTGGAAATGCTTGTTTTGAGAAAAGCCTGGAAAGTGGCATAAAAATGTTAATGTTTTAAAATGTATGTTTGGGAGGCTAGATTGAATCTTGTTTGCCCTTGTACTTGGCAGTGACTTATGCTACAGCTTATGCTAACTTGGGAAAAGTAGGGCAGAGTTGCCCAAGAACAAGTAGCTTAAAAGTTTTCAGTGGCTCCACTGATACTTTGTAATGGAGTACACTATTTTACCCCATTTGCTGGTAATTGTGTTTTGGACATGGTGCTCATGTTGAGGCAGCTAGGCTGTTCAGTTCTCTTGTGCTGGCAGTGCATGGTGGTGGTGCAGCAATATACCTTTTGGTTGTACACTGTCAGGAAGAAACTAGTAACCTGTGAACTGTTCATCAGAAATGCTTGTGGGTTAAGACACTCTTACCATTCATCCTCATATTCTTTATACATACACACATTTCTGATGAAGCTGGAAATAAAAGGATCTTTTACAGAGATGTGGTAGGAATGCTGCAGACCATGTACTGGTCAAAACATTCAGATAGAGAAATTGACACTTAAAGATTGCAAACAAATCACAACCTTTTAATGCTATTAAATGTTTGATACAGCAGCAGGAGATTCAGCTAGTGTTTCAGTCTTTTAGTGCTAGACAGGCATACGTGCAATGTTAGAGAAAGAGATAGAAATGGAAAATTATGATTTGCCAACTAAAGATCAGGGAAACTGCTAGAAGATAAGATAGGGATTGGGAGGCTATACACAGCAAGGAACTTGGATTTGCAATGACACAGGGTGAGCCTCATGAGGAGTGGAATGGAGAGATCAGGAGGAATATCAGGAGAACAAGGGAAATTAAATCAGAGCAATGTATTTACCTTGTTTGAGACTAGAGGGAATACAGAACACCTTGCTTCCTAGTCGCTCACCATATTTAAAGCTTGCACAGGGTACAAACTGTTTAGTTATGATACCACAGCCATCATGATAGCATTGCTGTGCTAGGAAATACAGGCACTCTGTAACCTGGTTCATACAGCATGACAGCCCTCTGTGGGTGATTAGCCTATAGTTGTTTGTGTCATGTAAACACAGTATAGTTTCTGTAGAGTGGCTTATTTTCAAAGACAAGCTACCCTGACTATCCATGGTTCGCTACAGGTAGGTATGTTGATAGAATTGCAGTTGTCTTCACTTTGCACAACCACATGTTGGCTTGAATCTTAATATATGCATGCTGTTGCTGAAGATATATTCACTGTGATTATGGTTCTTAAAAGTATGGCTTTTCAAATGCAACAAAAAGAGGAACTGAAGTATTGTTAATGGATCTCTTTCAGCCGGTTGCCAAGGAGACAAGGTTCAATTTTGTACTGCACAACAGGAATTGTCCTTCAGTGGCTCCAGTCAGACAAGTATGCATCTTCGTGTTTCAAGAGAAAGTGATAAATGTGTTTCTGTGAGGATTTATTTAGTGAATCAGTTGCTCCTGCTAATGGTTGTATTTTCTATGTCCAGTCATTCTCATTTAGTTCACATCTGTTTATTGATCTTCAGCTTCTGATCAACATGGAAGTTACCAGTTGTATATTCCTTCATTGCAGGCAATTGTCTAGTGTTAGTCATATAATTCTTGATGAAATCCATGAAAGAAATCTTCAGTCAGATGTTTTAATGACAATCATCAAAGATCTGCTAAGTATACGACTAGATCTGAAAGTCATACTTATGAGTGCTACACTGAATGCTGAGAAGTTTTCAGAATATTTTGGTATGTCAAATCATAGTTTTATAAATCAAACCCTTATGTACCTGATGTTATAAGCTTTACAGTAAAATGCTAAAATAAATAGAACATAGTTGGCTCCAAGCAGAGAAGGTCAAATGCTAATATACTTAGCATATTCATGTACAAGTTATTTTTTCTGTACAAAAATTAGTTAGTGGCCCCTTAAAGTCTAATATTTTGCCATAAAAATTTCATGGGCCAGAATCCAGTTCCTACAGTATTGTGTTTTGGGTGCAGTGGCCATTTTTCTATGCAGCTAAAGCTATCAGTATCTTAGTTCCCCTGTAAAGACTTTGGGCGTATGTTGAGCCACTTAGTTCTCTTCATGCCAAAGTACCATTGCATGAATCAGCACCAGCAAACTAGAGCAATATATACTGCTGTTGTGCTTTCTGTGATTTGTAGCAGCACTTTTCAGACCGCTACAGCCATAGGCTTTGGGTAGGAATGATGGTTCATCCTGACAGCAGCTACATGAATGCATACTCCCACAGTTCTCACAGGGATGATTGCTAGTGTGATCTAGTCTTTAATTAGTGAACCTTCTATTCTCAGGGAAGTTAACTTATTCCCAATAAACCTTGGGAAGTTTACATCTGTGCAGAAGGATGTTATTTTCTTATCGTAGTCTTATGTGTGCTTTCCTTGAAAGCAACACAGTCTGCATGTGTATCTATTTTAACATGTAAATTTTGTTGTAAACAAGTTTTGTAGTATTAGTTGAAAACAAAAACTGGCCTGCAGAGGGGTCCTTTATTCTGTATGAGGAGGGGTTTTTTTTGTTTTTGTTTTTTGGTATATTAGGCTTCTGTCTTGTTACTGTGTTTGAGACACACAGTATTCTTTTAAAATGCAAGTGTTTTGATACCTGTCTTCTCATTTTCATGATAGATAATTGTCCTATGATCCATATTCCTGGCTTCACCTATCCTGTCAAAGAGTACCTTTTAGAAGATGTAATTGAGAAGCTACGGTTAGTTTGAAGACAGTCCTCTAATTCCATGTTGCAATATGGCAATAACATTTATAATTTGAATACATGGTGATTCATACCATCTTCCCATATGAAGATATAAATATTGAAATACTTTAAAACTCTTATTTCACTTTGAGCATATTATAACTGGAACATTTTATATATTGTATTGTTTTGGAAGATACACTCCAGAAAATACAGATCGGCGATCCCACTGGAAGAAGAGGTTTATGCAGGGGCGTATAAGCAGGCCAGAAAAGGAAGAAAAGGAAGAAATTTATCAGGACCAATGGCCAGATTATTTAAAGCAGCTAAAAGGACGGTAGGATTAAAGCAATTTTCACATTTTCATTACCTGTAAGTCTAAGGTTGTAATCCTAACATTTACTATAAAGCAATGCCATTATTTTATCAGTCAGCCTTTTTTCTTTGAAAACATAGTAGCTGTATACTTGCACTAAACCTAAGTATTGTGCTTTGCTGTAGTTAATTTTTAATATATGCATGCTTTTTAGGTATTCAGAAAGTACAATTGATGCATTGGAAATGATGGATGATGATAAAATCGACCTTGATTTGATTGCTGCACTAATCAGATATATTGTTCTTGAAGAAGAGGTGAGTTTCATCCTGGCCAGTATATCTTCAGAGGATGCACTTTCAGGTTTTTAGTAGCATCTACACATTCTCCTCATCAGCTGTATATTTTAACTTTATATAACAGTTTTACTATTTTTTATTGTCAGTAGAGAGGTTGACATTAGAATCCATTCTTGAACTTCCTCTGTGGTGTAACTGGAATGCTGTGCTAATTTACCGAGTAGGTGGCACAGGCAGCAAAGTGTCTTGAGATTTCTTAAATGGCCTACACTTGAGATTCTGGCTGTTTCATCAAACCATGGTTAAAGCACAGAGTGGCTTATGCATCTATTGTATATAATTTGGTTTAAAAATGCACTCATGTTTTGAAGTGTCTCTGTCTATGTTAATGCAGGAAGGTGCAATACTGGTATTTCTCCCTGGATGGGACAACATTAGCTCTCTTCATGACCTTCTGATGTCTCAAGTTATGTTCAAGTCAGGTAACAGTTTAAAAGAAACAGCATATTGTAGAGTATGGTTTTTCTTTAGAACCTCTTGTCTAAACCTTCCAGACACCTTCTGCTTCCAGTATCAACGCAGTATCATGGATTGTGACATTTTGCTAGTATAACATTGTGCTATGTTTCATTTTAAGTCTATAGGACCTAACTGTAAGAATTTAGTACCCAATTTCAAATGGAAGCTTGCTTGCTTGCTTGCTTATTTATTTATTTATGTATTTATTTAGAAGGCTTCTATGCCGCCCCATTCGCCAAAGCCTCGGGGCGGCTCACAATAATAAATAAATAAACACAGTATAAAACAATATAATATAATTTGAGTCAACCTGGCCCCAAAAATAAAATAAATAAATAATATTAACCATTAAAATAACATTTGAATAAAAAGATCTTCGCCTGGTGCCAAAAAACAATAACGACGGCACCAGGCGGGCCTCTCTGGGGAGCGCATTCCATAGATTGGGCAGAGAAAGCCCTCCTCCAAGTACTTACCCTCCTAATATCCTTCACGGAGGGTTCCCGGAGATGGGCCTCTCCCGCTGATCTCAAGGGGCGGGCGGGCATATATGGATGTTATATTTATGGACGGGCGGGCATATATATTTACGTTAAGCATCTTAAATTGGAGTAAGCCAAAACCTATACTGTCAAGCTACCCTTGTAATCTTGGAGAGTCAGGTTCTCTGTACCCATAGAAGCCTACCGGACTTTGTAGTTTATTATTTATCCAATAGCCAAGACTCTCTGGGTAATTATCAAAAATTAAACTCTCTCCCCCTCGAAACAGACCATAGCAGTTGCAGTAGAAGTCTAGCAGTGGTACAGAATAAAATGCAATTAAAAATACAGTTAAAATGTTAAAATGCTGAGGCAATAAAAAGGTTTACACCAGGTGCCAAAAAGAATAAAAAGCAGGTGCCAGGTGCATGTCTTTGAGGAACTTTCTTCACAGGGGTGTTAGAATGGAAAAGGCCCTCTTCCTGGTAGTTAGCTACACACTTCACTTCCTTTGGAAGGAGGTCTCAGAGAAGGCCCCCTGAGGGTCAGAGTAGGTACATATAGAAGGCAGCCATCAAATAACCTGGCCCTAAGCCGTTTAGGTCTTTGAATGTTAAAACTAGCACTTTAAGTTGGCCCTGTAGTTCAGCTGGTATCCAGTGCAGCTGGAAGAGGAATGGTATAATAGGTTGTCATTCTTGTAATATGTTGTCATGTTGTCAGGACAGTTTTCCTGCCCTGCTTTGGATCAACTGATGTTTCCTGACTGTTTGCAAAGGCAGTCCCGTGTACAGCGTATTGCAGTCATCCAAGCAAGAGCTGCCAGAGCATGGATAAGTGTATCCTAAGCTGCAGAAAGATGCTTTGTGCCAGTGAGGCTAGTTGTGCCTCAAGTGATAACTCTGGATCCAGGAGCACTCCCAATCTGTGAACCTTGCCCTTTAGGGGAAGTGCAACCTCATCTAGAACAAGTTGAATAAGCACCAGACTGGACAAATCAGTCATCCCTTAACAGCACCTCCATCTTTCCTGGATGAGTCTCTACTTGTTGGCCCTCATCTCAATCCATTATGATGCTCAGAACAGCTACTATCTCACCTTGTTTTGATGAAAAAGAGAGGTAGAATTGAGTGTTACCTGCATGTTGGCAGTATCTCAGCCCATACCTCTGGATAAGCTCCTCCAGTGGTTTCATGTAGATGTTAAATGTTTAAAGATGTTAAATCGCTTAGGGGATAAAATAGAACCTTGCAGTACTGCTATGGCACAGCCCAATAATCCCCCAGCACCTTCTTCATTTACTCAAGCAGGAGCAGAACCACTGCAGTGCAGTGGCTCCTACTCCTAGACCAGCTAGCCAGTCTGGAAGGATACCATTATAATTGGATGATACTGATTTTTTTTTATTTTTTTTATTTATTTTTCAATTTATAGCCTGCCTTTTTCCTACAAAGGGCTCAAGGCAGCTTACATCATTTCTCCTCCTCCATCTTATCCCCACAACAACAACCCTGTGAGGTAGGTTGGGCTGAGAGTCTGTGACTGGCCCAAAGTCACCCAGTTGGCTCCATGACTGAGCGGGGACTCGAACCCAGATCTCCTGAGTCCCAGTCGCATGCTCTTAACCACTACACCACACTGAATGCTTCTGAGAGATGCAGGAGAATCAACAGGGTTGTACTCCCCCTGTACTTCCCCTGTTTTTGTCCTAGCAAAGGTCATTCCATTGGATAACCAAGGCAGTTTCCATTCCAAAACCAGGCCTGAAGCCAGGTTGAAATGGAACTAGATAATCCATTTCATTCAACACTTCCTGGAGCTGTTCAGCCACCACCTGTTCAAGCATCTTGGCCTGGAAGGGGATGCTGGCCACTGTCCTATAGTAATTTACATCCAGTTGATATGCTGGACTTCCTTCTCTCCCTCTTGCCATTGTTGTGCACCCTTCGTTGATCCTTTTGGTGGCTGCCAGAACCTTATACCAACTGTCTTATTTAAAAATGGGGTGTTGAACTTGGGTTCCAATACCCAGTGCAAGCAAATGCAACAGGTGATAGCATCTTCAATGACAGGTCCAGTTATTGGTAGATCACTCAGTGTAACATCAAGGCTGCATTCATATACCTGAGAGTTAGTAACTCCCATTGAACTATTGAAAAGCAGTTATCAACTGTACATGGCTTTATGTAAAGACATGAAAAAACTTCACAGAGTCAAAAAAGTTTAGTGTGTGCTTTTTCAGTGTTTTGAAAAGCATGTCTTCTTCAGTGCCTGCTTGCACTATATATATGGCAGCAAGAAGGTACATGGTCAACTGTTTAAGTGGATATAGATTATACAGGCAATGCCTGAAGTAGGAGACTTGAACTCTGAAACACTGAGTAAGCATATATTAAACAAGCACTTGTGTTTTCAGGGCTATGGCTTCTTGATATTGTCTGTGTTCTCCCAAGCCTTGGAAGGCTAGAGGGCATGTTAGGGGGCAGGAAGGCAAGGGAGGATGCTTGGGCTGACACCATTTCCAAACGGTGACCTAGCCCGTTTGCTTCCACTCCATGGAGCTTCATGAAATACAGGACAACAAAATATGGGATGTTGGAAATTGCCACCCTTACCTCTTGTGTCTTGCACTGGATGCATTTAGCCTTCTATGTTTGGCAGATTGTGTGCATCTAGGATAGATAACATAGAACTGCTCTGTGCTTCTGTTTGGTTTGGATTGCGCTACACTGTTGTGATTGTTGCTTTATGCATACTGGCATTGCACAAACATAAGTCAGTATAGAGCAAATGCCTTAAGCATGTTAACCTCTGTATTTGCCCTGTTGAAGGAATCACAACTAGCCTATGTTTGTGAGCTACTTGGGAGCTGCAGATTTGGTGACCATGAGACACTGCCAGTGTTGGCCAATAGCCAATGGTAGCTATTAACATTAGCAGATCAGAATTTTCCTTGCTAGTTGCTAGGCACTTTTTCTGTTTTCTCCATGTTTACCACCCCCCCCCCCTTTCAAATCTGCTCTTATTTATTAAAATATGGCAGTCTTAATCTTGGAGAGAAAGTCTTGACACAGATGCATCTAATATAAAGATTAATATAGAAACTAAAAGGTTCCGTTTAGATGCCAGGAAGCACTTCCTGACAGTAAAGGACCCCGAGGGTGTGGAATGGGCTTCTACGAGAGGTCATTGAGGCCCCATCAGTGAAGGTGTTCAAAGATAGGCTGGACATGCACATGGTGGGCATGTCGTAAGTGGAGCCGGCTGGAGCCCGGGGTCAGACTAGATGGCCCGGGAGGCTCCTTCTGACACTCTCTGTTTCTATGCTTCTATGTTTCTAAAATGTAAAATTGTTAAAAGTGTTTATTTAAATTATACCAGACAAAGTATGGAGTTCAAAACTCTTTTCTGTTTTAATGCTGTAAGGGATTGTTAAAGAATAAATGTACAGGGTTAACTAATTTTTTCATTTTACCAAAAGAACATAAATTATCTGGCTCTTCTAAAAATAGTGCATGAATTGTGTTTTTAACCAATTATAAAAATATCTTTTGATTAAGAACTATTCATACAGTTGTACCTCCTTTTTGTTCTTTAGCACTCTAGTTTTTTCAGTTCTGCTTTCCAACCGAATTTTACATGAAGTACCATAATGGCAATTTTAATTTTCAGATAAGTTCATTATCATACCACTGCATTCGTTGATGCCTACTGTTAACCAGACCCAAGTAAGTACTATAATTGATCATTATCATTTTTAACAATATCTTGCCTACAGTAACATTCATTTGATATAGCGTATCTGTATTCATTATTTGAGCTAAAGTACAATGAGTGCTTAAAACTACACTTTCATAGGACTGCTTATAGTTACTTTATACTCCACTAAATCAGGTTTTTAAGCAACATGAAAAGAAACATCTTTATGGCTGAAAAGACTAAGCGTATAGCCAGACAATATTCACTCTAGAAGGAGAAATGGATTCCTAAAATGATTTTCTCTCAAACTTTTTCCCTATATTTTTTCTTTAGGTGTTTAAAAAGACCCCTCCTGGAGTTCGCAAAATTGTCATTGCTACTAACATAGCTGAGACGAGGTAAATATTTGTACTGTTTTCAACAGTACTTTACTCATCAAAAATAGAGTATTTTAAACATTTCACTAGTTTGATTTCTTTGCACAGTGGAATGAATAATAAAAGAAGCAGATGTGTGTGATGCTTTCTGTGATTGCTTAATCAGATAATTTTATTTGAAAATTTAATATAGAATGAGCATGTAAAGAGAAAGTACACATTTCATCATTTAGAAATTGGACTGCAATTCCTAGTATAAATGGAGTCATTTATACTCCATTTTGGAAGTCAGCACCTGTGTAAAAAAGTTCTTTCCTCTTTTAACTCTCAGAGGGCATATATGAAGCTAGCAGATAAAAGACAGTCAGTCCATGCCATGTCAGGAATCACGTATTTCCTTTGCTGATCCGCTTCAGACTCTTCCTTCCTTAATCTCTATAGTGTGATAGAGAGATTAGTACAGAAAAACTGCCTGGATTTGCCTTCTTGAACTAAAATGTTTCATTTGATAAATTTTACTTATTCATCCACAGAAATGCTTCTCTGTATCCTAATTTATAAATTTCACTAATTTAAAATACAACTTGCTTCCAAAAAAAGCATGCTGAACATTGCATATTTTCTGTATGACAGTTTGTCTTCTGACAATCCTAACTTCTTGCATGTTTAGTAGGTGTTTAGTGCTACAGCTTGAATGGGTTAACCTTAGTGATTTTGTCAGATTACTGCTGTCAAGTGCTTTTTAAGAAGAGCTGTAGCAACTAATAATTACTGTTCGAGGTGACTGATTGTATGACCACTTAATAGAGAAGAACAATTTGTGAGGGGGGAATTGTCTTATACATTTCTTCATGCAAACAGTGTGTCATTTGATAGAGGAAAATTAACCATTTCTCTCTGCTTTCTTATTCTGCAGCATAACCATAGATGATGTTGTATATGTTATAGATGGAGGAAAGATAAAGGAAACTCACTTTGATACACAGAACAACATTAGCACAATGGCTGCAGAGTGGGTTAGCAAAGCAAACAGCAAGCAAAGAAAAGGAAGGGCAGGAAGGTAAGTTGTGATGGTCATCATTACAAAATTGTCAGAAGCAGGAAAACTTTGCCTGTGATGATACTGAACATTTTCTAACTTTAAAGATATTTAACTGCTTACCTCACTGTGGTGACTTTCTTGATTCTGAAACATTTCCATTAGTCACTTTATTTTCTGGCTGGGAACTGCTAGGAGTCACTTCATTTTACTAGGCATCTTTTTTGTGGATGGAAGCAGTGTCTAATGCATTTAATGGCCAGTGTCTAGGCTGGGACCTGAATGATTTTTATCAGAACCTGCTTTATCAGATGCAGCTTCCTATATGTTTCCTTTTTTCTACACCATCCCTGTTTGCAGAGGCAGTGTGATCAGTGGTTGTATTCACTGTGCACATACTTTACATTGAGTTGATGGTGCTGCAAGTATTGTGTGAAGAAGTCAAGCCTGTGGATTTTCCAGTATCATTTTTATGTTACGTTTATGTTTTATTCTGGCTGTTATCCTGTACTAAAGACATCCACTGAAAAAGCTCAGCATCAATATCCTGTGAATATTTGTTTCACTGCAAGGTATCAGTGCCTGAAAAATACTTGCACCCTCTTTTGTACTATTTCATATCTTCCTATACAATTTAGTTAAGAATTTCTTTTTCTTTGTTCAGTCAGTCCCTGGGAAATGAACTTGCCTTGACCTTTTGATGTTCAGGTGTATTTGTGAATGAAGACAAATTAGTCTGTTGAATCTAATCTAATACATGGGTGGCCTTAACCACTTGAAGGATGCATAAAGCTGTGAGAATGCTCAAAATTGTTTGACTTATCCTGTGTGAGATTGGTGAGACATGACCTGCTGCTACAGTGATGTAGTCCAACACATCTGGAGGGCACCTTGTTGAGGAAGGCTGTAAATAATTGCATCTCTATAATTGCTGCTCTGGGGGATAAGGATTTAAACTTCTCATTGCCCCTTTCTAGCTATTCTAGTTCTTCAAGAGCATAAGAACAGCCATGCCGGATCAAACCAATGGTCTATTCACATGGTGGCAAACCAACTACCCATAGCATCCTTCCATCAGGATAGATAAAAGAGTTTTGCCTGCCCAATACCCTCAGCAACTGGTGTATGCAGGAATACTGCCTCTGATCACGGAGGCAGAATACAGCTAACAAGGCTAGTGGCCCTCTCCATACATTTGACCAATCCTCTTTTAAAGCCATATGAATTGGTGCCCATCACTACTACTTGTGGTGGTGAATTTCAGAGTTTAACTATGCACTGTGTGAACTATTTCCTTTTACTTGTTCTAAATCTCCCACCAATCAGCTTCATTTGGTGGTTATGGGAGATTGTAAAAATGTGTTTGGACTTCCTTAAAATTACAGATAAATATACTCCATTTGCCAGAAAAGAAAAGCTAATGAATAACTTGAATTTTTAAGGCATCCTTGTAGGCAGGCAACTGCAGTGGTAAATTATGTACTTTGCTTACAGAAGGCTCCTGGTTCAAATCCCAATTTCTCCGGGTAAGCCTAGGAAAGAATTCTCCATGTAACCTTGGGAAGCCACTGCCAGTCAGTGTCAACACTACTGAGCCAGATGGACCAAGGGTCTGCCTCTGTATAAGGCAGCTTTCTATACTGGTGTTACACATGCTGGAGAAGAAAATTTTTGATAGGAAGTATTTATTTATTTTCTTGCAGAGTCCAGCCAGGCCACTGCTATCACTTGTACAATGGTCTTCGTGCCAGTCTGCTAGATGATTATCAGTTGCCAGAAATCCTGAGAACTCCCTTGGAAGAACTATGTTTGCAAATCAAGGTAAAATATGCTATTGCCTGAACTAAAGTCTGGTTCTGTAGAAGGTACATTTCCTATCCTGGTATTGATCATAATGGTTCAGGATTCACAAAATGATTTTAATCCAGATTGTGTGCACACTGGGAAGCTTGTGTTATCTGTGGCAGGTGTAACACTAAGTTGACAAGATAATCTCCTCTGTAACCAGAAGTGGTAAAGCCCTGCTCTTGTACGGATTACAAGATGAGGCCTGTTGGTGTTGCATGAAGTGAAGCCATTTGTGCCAAGGACTAAAAGTTCTTAGTGAAGTTGCCCTGATGTTGTGAAATAACCTTAATGAGGACATACAACAATCCTCATTTTAGCCTTTTAGGGAAGGTTTGAAGCATTTGGTCGTTAACAGTTTTGTGAGATTTGATTGTTCCTGTTGAGAAATGTCATGAGTTTTGCAGTTTGAAATCTGGGAAAATAGTCCAAATATATATGTGTGCTTGTTTTGGTGCTTTTTATAACAAGATCTTGTATATTAACTCCTGCCATCACACTTTCTACTTTACTTTCTTTAGTGGCAAAACCTAGCTTTTGGGACAAGTGCAAAGCATAGTCTACTGAACTGGATGTCACTTAGTATTTTTGTGTAATGACCCCAAATCTTTGTGATTCTTTTAGATTTTTCAACTAAGAAAGTTTGCTAACCTTGTAACGAGAAATGGCGTAAAATGTAATGGTAGTTATAATAAAATTAATTTTTACTAAGTTAAATATTTGTTCTTTTGTATGTTGGAATCTGTTAATTATAAGGGCCCTTCCAGAGGCATGTTATTGAAATTTCTGTTACTAACCTTTCAGGTTAGTCTAAAAAGAAGTGTAAAAGAGTAATGTTTCCATGTTAGTTCTATTAATTCTGTAAACAATTAATATTAAACTATAAATATGTGTGGGATTTTAATTTTCTTTTAGATCTTGAAACTTGGACTAATTGCTAATTTTTTGAGCAAGCTAATGGATCCACCATCACGTGATGCTGTGATGCTGTCGATACAACATCTCAAGCAGCTGGTAATTTGCTTCTCCTACTTACTAATAAGTTTGTTCAGATTTGAGACTCTTCAGTTGTATTACAGCACAGTTGGGAAAACCAAGCAGCTATCAAATGCTTGGGATGCTTGCTATATGCCACCCATTTAGTTATGTAAGGTATTAGATTTTCAGAATTTAAGGCAAAGAATGCAACGATGATACCAGTTGGCATCTTGAAGTTGAAAAACTGTTTGTTATTCCAATTAGTGCATTTTTCTCAGAAAACCAAGTAAACCAAATCCAGTAAATATCCTTGTTTTCCTATTTGGTAATTGTATACAAGCTTTTGATTTTCTTCTGCCAGCTAAAAAGTAATTTGAGAAATTGCGAAATGAGAACAAAGAGGATAGAAAATTCTTTACATGGTTACTTAATACCTCAAAGGGCAATATGTTTGTGGAACTTAAATGATAATATTATATTCATTGTTAAACTAATTTGGGAGTTGCACTGTGTGTACATGTATATATCATGCAAATAAAAACTACATATTCAGGATGTGCGTTCATAGCCATTAACCCGTTCTGTTTTTTCTGTAAGCAAATTGCATTTTTGCATGCTTTTATTTTGGTAAAATTCATGTTTAAAATAAAAGTTGAAAAAAAGATGGAAACATTGTAGGAAAAATGCGTTTTTAGGACAAAATATGGTGCAAACAAATCTAGAAAGTCAAATGCAAGGCTTTAATTCTGAATTGACAATTTGTATATTAAAGAATCAAAGTATTATTAGTATGACAGTATTCTAATCCTTCTGTTTCATGGGAAATATCAGAGTTGCTCTTCATTGTTCCCATTAACCTATATTTATGTTGTCTTTAACAGAATGCATTGGACAGACAAGAAGAATTGACACCTCTTGGAGTCCATTTGGCACGATTACCAGTGGAGCCACACATAGGAAAAATGATTCTCTTTGGAGCTTTGTTCTGTTGCTTAGATCCTGTTCTGACTATTGCAGCCAGCCTCAGCTTCAAGGACCCCTTTTTCATTCCCTTGGTAAAGTTTCTGAAGAAAGTAAATAGTAAAATATAAAGATGTTGATTTTTCTTCTGAAAATTCAAAAATTAACTGGTAGAAGACCAAGATTTTGAAGGCACCAAGGCAACTTCAGTTAATGAAAATTAGAGACAGTTTTAATTTGTATTTCCAGCATTTTATTCTTATTTGATGTTTTGAAAGGGAAAATACTACCAGAAAGCCTTGGCTATTGGACAGTATACAAATTAACTAAGTAAATGAAATACATTTTTCTTTCTGTTAAGGGCAAAGAAAAAGTAGCAGATGCAAGAAGAAAAGAACTATCAAAGAATTCTAAGAGTGACCACCTCACAGTTGTGAATGCTTTCAAGGTAGATATGCTCCAGCTAAAAATGTGTGGTTGGTTCACAATTGAAGCATAGTTAACCTTTTCAAAAATCATGCATGAGAAGTACTCCAAGTTAGGGATCAACATGTATTGCATAGTGATTATTCCTAGAGGAAACTAATTGGTTCAATCTGCACTTGCTTTACTTAACAGCATAAACTTATGGCCACCATACATCATTTAGATAGCAGTAGGTATTCAGAGTTCCAACTTCAAACTTAAGAAATTTGCTGTGAGTTTAGAGCGGCCTCCCCCATTTGCAGACACCACAGAAAGAACCTCACCAGCTCCTCCTCTGAGGTCACAAATTAATCCTCAGAAAGAGTTGAATGGGCATTACGAGAGGAAGCCAGTTCATCCCTGATAAAAAAAAATATATCTTGGTGGGTCCTTTGCCTCCTTCCTTCAAACTTTGAGGCACCACATTTCAATGGCCTCATTTCTAATTTTTTTTTGGCGAAGGAAGGCTACAGAAGCAATCTTCACCTCTGCACTCTTCCTGTCCCTCCTGGGATATACCCATAATACTCTGAGTTTAGAAGGTTATGGGCATCTGGATTGGATTGCTCCCTTAGCGCGAACAAGGTTTTTTATACTGTGAATAGTTTAAGCTTGAATATACTGTGAACAGTTTACACTTCCAAGTCTTTATTGTATCATTTTCAGTATAATTCATTCCAAACGATTATATATGGCTTTGATTTTAGTCTGGTTTTGTCACCAGAGAAGTCCATGAGTGTCTTTTCTTTTAGAGGGCATTCTAGAACCTATTATTCTAGAGCCTATTTTTCTGCACATGATATAAAAAGGAAATGATTTTAAACTTTGTCCTACCTCTGCTGCTGAATCATTCTGATCTGGATATATTGGCGCATATCTATCTATCTATCTATCTATCTATCTATCTATCTATCTATCTATCTATATTTATGAAAGAAATCACTGTATTCCCTATCGTGCAAATAAAATAGTTTGTCTTTGATTTATTGAACAGAACCTATATTAAACATTTTTCTGTTTGCAGGGTTGGGAAGAAGCCCAGCGGCGTGGCTTCAGGTGTGAGAAGGATTACTGTTGGGACTATTTCCTTTCTTCAAATACTCTGCAGGTAAAAGTTGTTTGTCTTTGGCAGGAAAACGTCTGCATTTAAGATACTGCTCTTGGACAGATCTGTAAGAGCTTATTGGTGGGCTAATCCATTTTCTAGATGCTGCGTAACATGAAAGGGCAGTTTGCTGAGCATCTCCTTGCAGCTGGGTTTGTGAGCAGTAGAAGCCCCAAAGATCCCAAATCCAACATTAACTCAGGTAAAGGCTAAAGGAAAGCTGTGTCTAATTTTGATTTCAGTTCTTACTTTCTGAATTACGTTTCACTGGGCTGTCTTCTCTTCCAGATAATGAAAAGTTGCTGAAAGCTGTTATTTGTGCTGGCTTATATCCCAAGGTTGCAAAAATTCGAGCAAACTTCAGCAAAAAGAGAAAAATGTAAGATTTTATCATGAATCTGTACAGGTTGAAATGTTACATACACATATCCAGTTCACCTGTAATCAGCAATCCCTAGTTACAAACTATGGGCTGTTGAAAATCCAGCTGGTACATGCATGCTAGTTCCTGCTTGCTCATTCTCACCACAATAAACAACACTGAGACATCCCCTCTGGGGTTATTTAATTTGACTTCTGAAGATGGAAGTTTGGTTTCCTGGAGGTGAACAATGCAGAGTATGAACCCATGTTTAAAACATAATACATGACAATACATGCTTGTTTTTATTATGTATATAATGCAAAGTGTTCCACAACTGACTAGAAAATTCTTTCTCTGATGTTATTGGCTTCTCTTAGTCAAAAGTGTATTTCCATTCTTGTTAAGCTTAATGTGCACTTCATGTTTTTTCATCTTCTAAATATCTTTGACTACTAATTGCGGGGAAAAAAATCTTAATCCAGGAATTATTAAAGGAGGGAGGAAGGATTCTGTGGTGACTTAGGTTTAAGAACTTTTGACTCCTCAAAATGTAACTCCCTTTATGAGTATCTTTAAAGAAAGCAGCTTTCTAAATAGTACTGTGACTCTACTGTCATTCAAAAAGAATCATGTCTCATACCGGGTGCGAATTAAAGTGCTGACCTTTTTGGATTGAGCTACATTGGTATAATTTTGTCATCAGTTGGGGCTGCAAATGAAAACCATCTGAAGATGTGAAGGTGCTTCCAGTAGACATCTAGCAAAAATACCTTAATTCTGTTTTTCTTTGTGACTCTGAATAAGAAAAGATCTATGTTCAAATTCCTTGTTTATGACCTTTGCAATTATTATATTCTAAAGGTAGCATTGTATTTTGAAAGGAAAAAAAAAGAAAGGAAAGGAAAACAGGTGCCAGGCATTTAAAAGAAACTAATTCTAGCATACATATTCAAAAAACTAATATATTAAATTAGTGATCTGATATATTAGTGATTTTGCACCTGATTTAGGACTTCTTTGTGTGTATTTTCAGGGTTAAAGTTTCCACTAAAACAGATGGAACAGTTTGCATTCATCCAAAATCTGTGAATGTTGAGGAGACAGAGTTCCATTACAACTGGCTTGTTTACCACTTGAAAATGAGGACCACCAGTGTGAGTGAACACCTCTTTAGCACCTAGTAATGATAGGTTCATTAATCCAGCCTGACACATGTTAATATCTGTGACTCACTAAATGCTTTGTTACTGCTTTTAAGTGCTATCCATTTTCCCCTTTTTTCATAGTGGAGTTTCTTAGTTTGTTACACACTCCACTTTTCTCCTTGTAGCTATGACTATCATGCAACATGGGGAAGAGTGGAATAAGAGGCACAGCTCAAGTCATGACTCTACTTTTGTTTTCTTTGTACAGGCCTATTGCTATCTCTTGTTTTAGGCTTAAGCTTATATCCACTCCTGCACTGTTTTTCCTTGATTGGAAGCGTATGTTCATGTGTAATACTGTGAAATTTCTAAAGGAGAAGTTTATTATACAGTTATAAGAAGGTGGCTAATCATGGGTTCAACAAAAACCCATATCAAACAATGCTATATCAGTATTTAATTAAGACAGCACTGAAGTGGCACTCCAGATATTTTGGCCTACAGCTCCTATCATTCTTCACTACTGGCTGTGTTACCTGATGGGAGTTGGAAGAAAACAGCTGGAGGGACATAAATTATAGCGTACCCCCATTGTAAAGTACACATGGCTGCTTTCAGACATGATGTTGAACCATGGCTGATTTTAACAAAAGATTAGTCCTCAATCCCCAGCTTGCAGGTGCTTCCATCACTCCAGCATGGTTTTAAGAGTATCAGATATTATGCTTCCACTTTAGATTAACCGAATCCATTGGAACAAGGCATAACTGAAATATATTGATTTTCTTTTTCAAAGAAACCATGATTAAAAGGATTTAGATTGTGTTGGTTCAGATGATGCAACAAAATGGAAGCCAAAGCTAAGCTTTTCTCAGCATAGTGGAGAAAACCAGATGATGGGTGGAGGCGAGACATGTTCCCACCACAGAAGGTTTCTTTTGATGTCTTAGTACAGCTACAGATTTAAAATCAAACAGTTTTGAGGTCTAATTCTGATTGTGCCATTCACAATATTTTACTGTCCCATGTTGAATATATTCATATTGCTTATATTGTGTTTGATGCTTGTTACAGATATACCTGTATGATTGCACAGAAGTTTCGCCATACTGTCTTTTGTTCTTTGGTGGAGATATTTCTATTCAGAAGGACAAAGATCAGGATACAATTGCCGTGGATGAATGGATTGTCTTTCAGTCTCCAGCAAGAATAGCACAACTAGTGAAGGTAAGTGTGCTGTGTATTTTTCTTTCTGAGTGGAATCCAAAGAAGTCAAGGCCACATTCTTGAAATAGTTTTAAATGTATAAAGTCAGTCCTTTTAAAAAAGCAATATCTACTCTACTCAGGCTGTTTCTTTTAATGCATAACAGGAAAGGTGTTTTCAAGCACAAGACTTGTTCAGGCATTTGATTCTAGGAGAGGTTTATCAGTCCAAAATTAATCTAGAACATCTCTTAGCACAGTGTGCACAAAGCTTGCAAACAGGGATAATATTGTATTTAGTTCTATATACAGTGGTACCTCAGCTCCCAAAAGCCTTGGCTCACAAACAAATCAGGTCACGAACAAAAATTACTAAAAATTTTTACTTGGGTCATGAACACCACTTTGGATGGTGACCAAGATCGCAGCCATCTCGCCCCTCTTCCCCGGTAGGGAGATGGCCACAATCGCAGTTCCATTCGTGGAGAGAAGGCATCCGTGATCAGAGGCATGCTGCTCCACTAAAGACAGGTGCAGCAAAGCAGATCTGCGGAGGAGATTGCCGAGCTTCTGCTTGTCATTTGTGCAGCCGCGTGCCTCTGATCACAGATTGCGTCCGTGACAGTTGTGTGTGTGTGTGTGTTTCTCATGAGATGACAACCCATCATGGATAACTAGCCATGAAGGGATGTCTTGTTGTACAAGCTTTGACTGCTGCCCACAGGTGCCTTATTTTTCAGCAACAAGGCACTAATAACACCATAGTTCGGTCTAGGGATTGCTTGCCCTACCATGGATTAAAATGTAGGAGAGCAATTTTATTGCAGGTTGCAAGGACTAACTAGTGAGCTGCCTGGCAAGAGTGACATAATGCCCTGCCACTCTTCATGCTCTCACCCTCACTGCCAAATGTGACAGTGTCTCCAAGTGATAACTCCATCACTTTGAGTGATGCTCATTGCATCAGTATTTTTCAGCATCTGAAAACTGCACAATATGTCTGCAATTTTTCCAGTATGTATGGTTCTGTCTAGTCAACATCCTTGTCTGTTGCACTGTCAAAAGGAACAAATAGATAAAAGATTGACAAAATTAGACATGTGTACATTTCCCTCCTTCTTTGAAGCTGTTAATTTTATGTATATTCCCTTTTTTCTGAACAGTTAGGGAATCTCAGTAATAAGTGCCAGGAAACACAGGGGAGTTAATATATACCCTTTCTGAAGTAGGTAAAGCTACTGGGATATGTTCTGGAGCTGGTTGGAAAACTGAGGCAAAGTGAGTGGAGAACAAGCTATGGTGAGCCTGGTGGTCTGTCGTGCACCTCAGGGTTCTCCTGCAAACAGTCTACACCATGTAGCTTATTTGCAGCAAGCTATTCTAATGCAGCGTTTTGTCCTGCTAAGAATACATCTTTTGAAAATTTAGGAAGCTATGTCCTAAATTTTCTGTCAAAGTAAATTTAACTTGTGTTAGGAATCAGCTTTATTCCTTTTAAGTTATTCAAGAACAGTATTGTATAAGGTAATATTGCACTTTGAAGCAAAATCCGTTCTGGTACCAATCAAAAGGAACTATTTTCTAAGAAGTCAGTGCTTTAAAAATACTTTATTTTCAAGTCAAAGCAGTTAACACTTTCAGTTCACACTTTCAGATTATTTATCTTTAAAAGGTTTTTACTCTGATATCTGGCTATATTTTGATAACTACACTATACAATGGTCAGTTTATATTCAAATGTGTAATTCCATTCTACACAGAACTTTGGATTGTAACAAGGAATAAAACTAAAGAAAAATGTCAAGAACTAATAAACCAGTGATTTTTGAAAAACATTGAGATGCAGATAGTACGAATTTGACCACAGTAAGATGGTTAGTATCTGAAATAAATAAGATATTTTATAGCTTTTAAATCTGCAACTCCTTCCCCATCCATCCAAATTACAGCCTGTTTGGTTGCTACATTCCCAAAAATAAATCTAATATTTTCTGAAGTGGGAAGGAGTTGGTGAATTAACCGGGCTCCACCATGTTTATTTGAATATAATATCTCCATGGCTGCGCCATTTGAAACTCTAGGTCTTCCTAGAAATAGATCTTAAGAATCAGAAAAATATTACAGTGGTACCTTGAACCTTTCTTCCCAACCCAACATCCTTTTATTCACAGGATTTGAAACAAGAATTAGATGACCTTCTACAAGAGAAAATAGAAAACCCACAACCTGTAGACTGGAACAATACTAAATCAAGGGACACAGCAGTGCTGACAGCCATTATAGACTTAATCACAACACAGGAGAATGAAACAGCTAGAAACTATGCCCCTCGTTTCCAGAATGAACAATACAGTTAACACTGTTACTTTGCTGCTGAAGGGATGACCGTTCTACAAGGGGTGTGTTTTTTGTTTTGGCTAGTTTATCTTTCAGCATCCTAAAATTCCATTTTTAATGTTGGTTTATAATGGCTTTGTGTATATGGCATGCAATGTATAAAGTAGTTGTAAACATAGTTGCCGGTGCTGTATAGTCTGTGTTATTGTTTATGTTATATCTATATGCTAATTATTACAGACTGTAACTTTTGTTGGGTAAAAGCTTGAATGAAACTGAAAATGAGCTGAACCCATTTTTTTTAACCTTCTGCTGTTTACACTGTTTTGCTGCTGTCTGTGAAATTACCACTTTGAAAAATAAGCAATATTAGTAACGAATGATCCTTTTCCAGCTTTTCAAAATTCTAGGTGAGTTACAATTAGAACCAAAGTGCCCACTATGGGGAACCAAAACGGTTTGTAAAAGTGAACCAGTGGCATTTTGAAAAAAGATGTAAGGGCTGCTATGTTTTTTTTATTTAAAATAAAATCAGGACAGGAAAGAGAATCAACAGATGGATCCATGTTCATAAACTTTGAGCAAACATATGCATGTCAGTCCAGCTAAAGGCACTAGAAGAAACAGTATATGCTGATCTAGCAGCAGCTAGGACTGTAGATGCACCAACTTTCAGTCTAAAAACACTAAATACCACCATCCAGTTGGGATGAAGAACAGATCTGGATTGCACTGGAACAGAATAAAGCGTTCAAACTCTCACTAGAATCAAGTATGCATTAACTGTAATGTGAGTAAGCAGCTGCAGTTCTGTGTCAATGTGAGTGCCATTTTTATTAGGAATTTGATTTTACAAATACCTGATTGATCTGTCCAGCATTGATAAAAGTTTTCTGGAAAAATCTGAGCTGGAAATTTGCAGTGCAAATTAGCTTAATGACATTGGGAAATTTTCAGTTTGCATGCCCCTAGGGTTCTAATTTAGCATGCCAGCTTTACCTTGTAAAGAAAGCTAAAAGCACGTCAGATTATTTATCCTCATGCACCATAACTATTTGGCTAGATATATTTGAGAGAAAAAGATGAAGCACACTTCATGTGATTTAAATGTTATATTATGTAGAAAATTTAATTGGAATTCTTGTAATAATATAAAGACTATACATATACTTTTAATGTTAAGGAAAAAACAAAAGCACTGAAAACTGTTAACAAAAAATTAACTTTATTAACCCAGACAGCCACTTACCTATTTCAACAAAATTTAACTGTTCTTAATTCTTGTGTCATAAATACATTGTGTCACATATTTGATAATCTGAAGAAAACATTAATTACAGCTTTGCAACCATCAAACTTTATGCATAATTTGCAATCGGCATGCATTCATCTTTACTAATGAACTATAAAGACAGGAAGTTTTCCACAGAAACCTTAAAGCACTGGAAAATTTTCTGCCCCACATCACTGATACCTGGTAATTTTAACAGAATCCATATTTCTTAGCCAAAGCCTGTATGTTAACAGTTTTCATTTGTGTAACGTTGTTACAGTGTTTGTGTACTTATTTCAACTACAGAGTGCACAAGGTCCCTGCAATTTTAGAAAGTTCATTCATTTGAGGCAGAGGGTAAGCACAGTCTTGAGCAGTCATGACGATAGCGATATGAGGATCTATTGAACTTCTTGGTGCACAACTACTTAATATAGCAGGGAACTTCCAGAGTTTCAGACTTCAAATTTTGTAGAAAACATGAGCAAATACAGAGCACGTGTTAAACTCATCCAATCGGTCTATATGTAGGATAACTTATGAATCTTCCTAAACCTTTTATAAACACACAAACTGTCCCACTTCCTTGCTTTTGGGAATAGCAACTGCCCTGTTAACTTTCATTTTTGAAATTGTCATAAATGCAGATGAGGTGTCTGCCCCTGGTTTTGTTGCTGGACATGGGACCTGATTGCCTCTAAGTTGGTTCCAGTATGGATTTTCCTGAGATTGGGTACAGTATTGCAATCTTACTGAGACTTTCCCAAAGAGGGAGTTGAAGGAGTTATTTTTAATACAGTAGGACTGCAGTTCTTTGACAGACTAGCAGTTGTTCACTGTACCTTTTTCTATTCAAGTGACTTTTCTAGTATATGTTTAATCATACTTGGTGGTTCTAGAGTTACCTGGTAAACTATGTCATAGTTTCCTGAAGAACATTATTCAGACATTTCTTGAAGTTAAAATCGAGTCAGTTCTTTTGGAGTTCACATGGATTAACATATTGTGACTATATACTTTGTTATGGGGCTTTCAAACTCGAGGTAGCAAACATACTTAGTTTGGAAGGGTGCTAGAGGCAGCCCTTCTCCCAGAGGCAAGTACGGAATTGCTATAATGGCTACAGGAGCCTAAAATGCCAGTCACTCTCACTGCTCTTGATTGTAAATCACTGCAACAAATTATGAATTGATTATCCTAGGATTTGCCCTGTCTGCTTTTCACACTCAGTTGTCAATTGGCTTGATTGTAGGTATGTGGCATGCGAACTCTGTGTCTGCCATTTTGTAGATCCAGCCATTTGTCAGGTGAACCTGGCAAATGTGGGTTATGCAAGGGTTGACTAACCCATGGTTGCTCTATTCACACAAGTAGTAGAATGTGCAACATAGTGCCAACAGGTGTCTCTGGTTAATAGCCCATAATGAGCCATGCTGTGTAAACTAGTGTGTTTTGGGAAGCAATCTACTATACCAAATCAAAGCTTTCAAAAGGACTTCTGGCTTCACAGTAGAAAGTCTCAAACCAAAAAAGCCTTAAAAACAGATAAACAGCTGTAACAGTTGGTTACTTTCCCTGCTAGGAAACAGGATTTTGCACAGTAGAGCTGTATATTCATCTCACATTGCTGTGAATAAAGCAGTAACATAGTACAGTTGCCATTTATGTATTTTTGTATGCATAATCTATTGCCTTTTTTAAAAAGCAGAGAGGCCACTCATCATCAGGGATGAAGAGAGGTATGTCTGTGTTCCTCAGACTAAACAGTATCTAAGCAGGTAACTGTGTAAATTTAAATTATTCTAATTTGACCACTTGGACTCTAGATGTTCACTGTACATACATTTGGTCAAAGTAGCAATAAAAACTGAAATTGAAAAGAGGACAGTTGGGAAAGTACTTGATGATAGTCTTAGCATATAAAATGTATTTACAATATATAAAAAAACCTAATTTCAAATTCATCCACTAGTAGACAAGTAGTTCACATGCACCTTTCATTTGATTCTTGGAAGAGTTTCGCCGAGAATGACTGTAGAATGGCATTTGTCACAAGCCAGTCTGGGTTGTCCTTTAGGGAAGGATGTGGGAGGAGGGGCAAGCATGAAAATTGCTCCTGTACTACATATTCCAGCAATATATATTGACAAATCAGAAAGGAGAGATCCTTTCTTTGTCTTTGCACTCCTTGGTGGGTTACTGTTTCACTATGCTGATCCCAATTTTTTTTGGAAAGGAGTCTATTACACTAGCTCAGAAATAAGGTTGAGATGTGCCAACAGCATATTGCATTAGATTACTGTTCATCAATACTGTTCATCAATGCAGCAACAAAACTGTACAATCTACTGTGTGGGTGTAGAAGCAAGTTTATTTACATGCAAAGTGGATACATGTATGGAAACTACTGCAGACCGCACATGGAATAGTTTGGACCTAACAACTTTCAAAAAACTTACACATTCTGTATACACTTAGAAAAAACAGTTGACTTGTGCAAGTGACTTCAGCATCTTTCATTGTAACCGGTATATGGTTCGGTTAAGATGGGCTTAATTTTATTCAAATATTAGTGTTAGGTTTGTGTGACTTGGTGGAATATTTTCCCACCTCTCTTCACAGCTGTCTGCACAGCCTCTGGAAAGGGTACAGAGAAAGTTCTGGGTACACAGCTTATCTTTCCCCAACCTGTTGCCTTCTAGAGTTTTGGCCTTCAATTCCCGACATCTGTGTAGTTCCAAATTTCTGGGTAGTTAAAAAGCACAATATGAAACTTAAAACCGTTTAAAACAAAACCAATGTTAAAAACCAGCAGCAGGGTAAAATTCCCCTGCAGGGTAAAATGGAAGGACTAAAAAACCTGGAAAAATACAGACTCTTTAATAGCTACCCATCTTACTCTGTTGGGGGCACTTCGCGAGTGGCAACATGGCTAATGAGCAGGAATTTGGGCAGTTTATTAGAAAGCATCAAATTGGAGAAGGCTGGTTAGGCTGTAGCAATGTAGTGAACAGGAGATCCCCTGCAATTATTGGGGAGCATGGTCTATATGTGGAACTCTGATAGTCAAAGTTGACTTTGTTTTATTCTCTCGTATTGCTACCACCACAGCTTATCCCATTCATCACAGTATTCAGATCCCCTGTGCAAGGCTGGAGGGGCTACTGTAAAGAGAAGGTGAAAAAGTCAGCTTCAGTCAGTCCAGTTCCATGGACTGGATTCTAAATCTGGATATCTAAATCTGGATTCACTGAATATCCTATGTCATTTATATATACACAAGCATAAAGAACGAAACTTTCCACCTATCTGAAAAAAGCAAGTTTTATGACATTCTACCATTGTGCAAATCTATGTGTATGGGTGATCAGCAATGTCAAAAAAGGACAAAGTTGCCTATAATACACATGATGTAGAAAATGCTGTGCTTATTTACATAAAAAGAAAATGCAATGCAAATTAATACCTATTTATAAATTAATTACATATGCAATTACAAATGAATTCCTATTTACATATTCATTTGACAACAGAAATGCCTTCCAAACATCAAAGTGGAAATGTAGTAGATGACATGCAATAGATGATGCAACCGAGATGGTTTTCCTTCTCGCAGGGAAGATGAGAACATTCTTTAGTCACAATTGATTGTAAACCAGTTGTCTTAAGACCATTAAAACCAATGAGGCAAGCTCTGAATAACAACTCTGCTCAATGCTAAAAAAAAAAAAAAAATCAAGCAACTTTCTCTTTAATAGGATAAATAAGCTTAGTGCAACCTCCTCCAAATAAAGTTATACTTCAACACATCTGGCGAGCACCAGGTTGAAGGGCTGTGGCTTCATGCGCTTTATATTATGTTCCCTTTCTCTGACAGTACCAGCATAGTTTCTGAAGCTATTTAAACTAAAATCTTTGCTGTATGCATGCTGAGAGAGCAAATGCGCTAGTGCGCCCTAGCCAGCTACACTGGGCCTCTGTAGCCCCTTTTTTATTGTCTAAACATGCATATGGTTGCACCCTTCTAGTCTGGCTTTTAGTGCAGATGCCAAGGAAGCCTTTCAGAGGGTCTTTTGCTCACTAATTCAGTCAAGCTGATGACTGGTCAACATTAATGGCTTACTAGGAGGAGGTCAGTGAGGTCCAAGGAGAGACACCAGTAGTTCTTTCTTGATTGCTGACTATATTCCATCTTATTTTATACACTGTTTTTTCATCTTCTTAATGACGGAGGGTAACAATTAGGTAAATATATGCAAAAATAATTGTGGGGGGAAGGGGTCTGAGCTGAAAGAACTATTTTGTGGATGGTTGAGTAGAAATACTGAGTATATAGAAGACAGCAAGTATATGATGTGGCAACTCAACTGAAAATAAACTTCTGGGTAAAGAAGTTTTGGGCTTGCTCATTTGAGCAATATTTTTAAATAGGTAGTTTTACTTACATGCAGTTTGTCAGTTATTCAAAAATAATTATCAGTAAAAAATAAGAATTCTCAAATGGACAAGTGATCAGCCTTTTTAAATAAGAGGCTCAGTAACTCGGCATGGCACTGCTGAGAAGCAAGCAAAACAAAGAAAAAAAAAACTACCTCCATTTTTGGCATAACAAAATTTGGTCTCCAGGTATGGTGGAGCATCTCCCATAACTGGCTGAGAATATTTGCAAGGACTGTTATAGCATGCACGTATGCACACATAAAAACCTGTATGTTGTACAACTAGAGCTACAGCAGTTTTGAAATAACCAACAAAGATAAACAGGAGAGATGTAATACAAATGAATGCATCCATGGAGTTGATCAGCAATGCTAGGTTTTCTCAGCTTGTTGCACCACTCCTTATCTGTGTAGCCTGCTTCTTCCTCCTGCAGCTGCCACTCTTCCCGAGGCTCTTTGTGGTAGCTGCATCCCAGGACTGTGGAAATGAAGATCTTGGGTTCAGACAGCACAGCAGATTAATAATGGCGAAAAAAAGGAACCCTGCTTTGTTATGCTGTCTGAACTCAGCCTAGATGTATGTTTCTGGATCACAACTTTGTGTAAACTTGGCATACAGGTCAGTCGCATACCCTAAAGTGTTCACTTACTCTCTTGCCCCATCCCCTGCATTCATCATGGGTACCTGCTTTGCTTTTCCCTTGCTTTGTTGTTATCACAGCTTAAAACAGAGGTGACTGAGGCAGAAGCCCACCAATCAAGTGCTGCAAGGCAGGTGTAAGAGCCACAGGTGCATCACAGGGTGTTCTAGTAAAATGAACTGTTTACGCATTTGATTGCACACTTCACACATTTCAACAGGATTAGTAATAATTAAAGCTGCAGCTCTAGTTGCACATTCTGCTCATTCATTCACAGTGTGTTCTCACAGTAGCTGCTTGCACAGAGGTCTGATTCTGCACACTGGTGTGCCTTGCTGAGTTCAGGCAATTAGATACAAATGAACTGGGGCTAATAAACAAAAATGGAAGGTCAAATTAGCACTTCCTAGAACAGATCTCAAAGGAGGTACATACAAATTATGATTCGGTCACTGTGAAAGTCCAAGTGAACATTCTATTAGGCACTCTATACAGTGATAAAAGTCAGCCTTTAATTGTTATCATTGTTTTTTAAGGGATTCTGACAAACACCTCTTTGCACACAGTCGCTTTATAGCTGCTTTTGCTTCTAATTACTGCACACATTTGTGATCCTTTAAGAAGTTACAGCTGTTAAGTGACCACCTAGAGGAGAACAAGCTGCCACAGGCCTCTCTTAGTGCAAATCCTAGCGTCTATATATCACAGGGAAAGTCTATACATTTGTTTCTAGACCTAGCAAGCGTCCCATCCGCTCCATGTTCTTTTCAATTGTGGCTTGACATGTGATCTCCTTGGCACATTCCGTTGGGAACCAGCCTTTTTCTCCATCACGCAATCGCTCTCCTTCATACCAACCTGCATTGAACAATGAGGTACTAAATGTTATACATATTAAAGACACGAGAGCTCCTTTTAAGAACAGAAGCATCCTGCTTCACCCAATGGCAAGTGTAATGGTTCTAAGCTGCACAAAGAAGATCATGAAGGAAATAAGGTTTTGTTGATTTATTGCTAACTTGTAAAGACCTATAAGACTTCAATCCAGGTTATCCTAAGCTCACCTCATCCCTTATTGTCCTGTCTGATTGTTATATTTTTTAGAGAAAGCATTTGAGGGTGTCAGCAAAATGCCAGTAAGGAAGAAGACAATTGAGCAGGGAGTGCCATGTAGTAGACATTACCACAGAAAAGGCCCTCATGCATTTCCAAGGATTCTACTGCACACACTTAAACTACGACATTTTCTACCACAGGGTGCAGTGATGGACACCAACTTGGATGGCTTTGAAAGGAGATTAGGCAACATCATGGAGGATAAGGTTATCAGTGGCTACTAGTCCAGATTACTATATATTACCTCTGAGACCAGAGGGAGTGTGCCTTCATATAGCAGCTGCTGGGGAACATGAATGGGAGGGTGCCATTGAAGTCACGACCTATTTGATAGTGGATGAGTGGCCACTGTGTGAGCAGAATACCAGACTAGATAGGCCTTTGGTTTATATCAGCATGGCTCTTCTTATGTCCTCACCCTAAAAGCCTTGGCACACACAAATTGGACTGTATCAGAAGATCTTTATGGACAATTCAATACACACTGTTGGAAAAAGTCCCTCAAGTAGCTTGGTCCCTTGTCATTCTAGGAACTAATTATTTCTGCCATCTGTCTCTGGTATAGATCCTTCAGAGGATTCATTTAAAAGGTGATAAATTTACTCAGGAGTGACTTTATCAAAAAGCTTTCTGGAAGATGGAAGACTTTATATCTTCTGAATCACTTCCCTCTTACATGCTTGCGGATGCTTTCAATGATAGTGACGCAAAGGCTACTGAAAGGTTGGCCTTTCCTTTGCCCAAGTCATGCTGATTCCTCTGCAGCAGGATCTGTTCTTCTTCCTATTTCATAATTTTAGCTTTAAATAATGCTTTCCACTCATTTATTTGGGGCACGTATAAGGGGCCTATAATTTATTGCTCCCCTGCTGACTGTCTTTAAAAAAAAAAAATCTGCTATTACACTGGCTACCTTCCGAAAGATAACAGCTAATAAATAATTCAGCCTGACTTTCTTATATATGCTAACTACATCAGCCATCTCATCATCAATAAATTTGTTATGAGACAGAGAGAATAGGTTATGCTATGAATGTGAATTCTGTGCAACCCTCCCCCACCCTCCATATTACCAAGGGAACTATGCAGCATTCCAAAAATGCTTTGATAATTGGAAATATAGAGTGTGAGGAGAGAAATAGCAGAAATAACTTGTTTTCTTTTGCAAATACCCAATTATAGCAAGCATGAACTTGAGTTTGTAGAGTTAGAAAGCTTTTTAAAGATTTTTTTAAAGCAAACTGCAGCAAAACTCTGTGTATTTCTACTCAGAAGTAAGTCTATTAATGTCAGTGAAGCTGTCTCCCAGTAGGAAGATATAGATTACAGTTGTAATTTGCAACACTGAACACCTTAAAGGAGCAAAGATTGATTACATAGTCACAGTACCACACACTGAAATTATATACATTTTTAAAAATGGGGGAGGGCATATAAATAAAATAGATCATTATATGCTGCATTCTGATAACTTCTATTATGTGGAGATTTTGCTTTAGCTTTCTTCCCATTTATAGTTCTATAGCAGAAGAAATTATCTAGTATATCGCATTTCTATCCCGCCCTTTGTTCAAAGAACTAACTCATCTTTCATCCATATAACCAATGGGCTAAACAGAAATCTGAACCCAGTTTTCTCCATTGTAAGCCCAGCACACATAACTAGCACTCCAGTTTCATTTGTTAAAATTTGGATGGACACACGCTACATTTCAAGCCTGTATGACAGAAGTAAGTATGGCTTTGAATTGTGGTACATCTGTGAAACAGAAGTGCACTGCGGCCATGCAATCAGTTTGAAAGCCTTTGGTGCCATGAAGGAGTAAGAACAGCCCACCTACCATCATTCACTTTCTGATAGACAAGAACAACATCTGCAGCTTGGAGAGAGAGTTCATCTGACTGCTTGGCTGTGTATGATCTGATGACTTCTACCTGGGTCAGGGCTAAGAAGAAAGGGTATTTATTTATACAAAGCTAAATGTGCTAAATTTAGAATAAACAAACATAAGGAAAGTGTACTGATTTCCAGCATACTCTTTATTTTAGACAACTTGGTAAGAGACAGTGGCCTACAGCTGACTGCTTGCAATGGCCTCTTCATGCAGTGACGTTACAAAAAAAATGTGCAACCTGTATTTCTTACATGGGAAAAAGGTTAAACTCACAGAGAATTTTTCAGTGATCGGATTCACATGGCACAGCAGCCCATGGTTGGTAGTTAGTCATGACAGGTTGCTGTGTGATCTGAATCCAAACAACTTCCTGCAGGGTTGCTTGGTTTAGGAAGCAAGCTACCTTGTCAACACACAGCTTACTCTAGAGCAGTGGTGGCGAACCTATGGCATGCCTGCCACAGCAGGCATGCAGAGTCCTCTCTGTTGGCACGTGAGCCAAGTCACCCCAGCATCACCCCAGCAGCCAAACATCAGATAACAGTGAACATAGGGGCCATGCGCATGTTCGAAAAGGAGTAGCGGTGCCAGGTGATGATGTCACAAGCCGCGACACATTAGCTGCAACTTGTCCAAGCTTTTGCATGGCTGGTCAGTGAGCTGCCAAGGAGATATATATATATATATATATTTGCTTGGACTGGCTGTGAGTTGTTTTTTCTAAACTAAAACCTCAGTTTTCAGGTTTTATTGCAGTGTTGGCACTGTACGATAAATAAGTGGGGTTTGGGTTGCAGTTTTGGCACTTGGTCTCTAAAAGGTTCGCCATCATACTCTAGAGGCTGTTGAATCTATGATGGATTGCCATGTCATCTGAACCTGGAACAGCTATGTTATCATAGCTTGTGGAGTTCAACAATGGAGCCACTCAACAAGAACAGCACCTCCATCCCAAAATGGTTTTTGCAATCTCGCTTCTGCCGCTGCCAGCTTTTTCAATTTTCCAGTATAATTGTGCCTGGCGTACGCACTTGTCAGCTTCATCTGACAAACAGTAGCACATTCACAAGGTGACACTGCATTTAGGCTGAATTGCAAACAGTTGACAGTTGTCAGTTGCCTAGGTATCAGTTAGAAAACACTTGCAAAGGGAAAAAAACAGCAGAATAGGTACACCATGGAAGGCGATTTAAGACCATTGCCCTACCAGTAACTGTTCGTATTTCTAGCACTGAACTGACAAGCTCTCCACCTTTTCAATACTTTCCCAGGTCTCGAGGTAGCTCAGAAAGGGAACACCTTAAAGCTACCCCCTTTTTCTGGCTCCTTTCCTAGAGACATTACAGCAGTTAGACAGCTATTAAAATCCTTGAGAAAGTGATGGAGTGGGATGAGATGAATGGATTCTCACAGAGGACACGTCCCGTCTGATCTGTCTTCTTCTACCACCTCTAAATATTGTAGGGTTTGCTTGTTTTTTAACTCAGAGTGATTTGCACATTTTAAAGAAAATAAATCCTTGTAAATCTTTGAAAATGCTCAGAAAGCTTTAGCCATTGAGCAGTATAGAAATAAAATAAATGAACAAATATATACATATTTTAAGGCTGAGAAGTCAGTGGAAGGAATATATTACACGAAATTTGCTTCCATTGACTACCCGCTTGTCAGGCGTAGGTTGTTCTGTGAATAATCCATACCATGCCTATCCTACTTACGTATTTGCAGGATGTATTGCTATGTTGTGTGAACTTGCCCATTGTTCCTTTGCTCTGAATGGGACTTAGCTGGACACAGAGTTCTACCAACAAAACTGCAGAGGGCATTCTTGGATTGTTTCTAAAGCTTACATGATGTTAAGGGGGGGGGGCTCCATTCCAATCTCTCAAGTAAACCATTTTTCAAAAATCTTACTACCTTCCCTTGTTACATGTGCAAAAATTATCTGCAAGCTTCCTGCCTCCTGAATCAACATACAAAAAGAACGGCAAGAGACAACTTGGGCTGCAGAAGGAAAGACCCACTAAATTCATCAACATTTTGTTTTCTAGAAAAGGTGCACCTTTTCATATGAAGTGCACTTCATATGAAACCCTTGAAGAAGCTTCTAATTTCTCGCTTACCTGTCCTGTCCATGGTGCCTCTATCGTTGTTCTGCCCAAGTGCAGTAATCCAACGAGCACGCTCATTCCTGGGAAGAAAAATAAACAAAATTATTGTTTGGCCTATGCTTGAACTGTATTCCCTGACTTCTAATTCTATCTTTTAGAGAAAAATGTATTCATATGCTTTCTGGACAGCTTATTTAATCCACAGTGACAGTAATCAGACCTCCATTGTTGAAGGCGTGTGAACAGGATGGGAACTACTTAACTTCTTTCATGTTGTTTTGAAGCATTGATCAGGCTGGAAAAAAATCAGCAGAGACTTGTCCCAGGCCATCCTGTAAATTTACGTCTGGGTAAAGATTAGCAGTCTCTTGTAACTGTGGATGTTCAGTAAATATGTAGAGCCTACATCATTAGTGCTGTTTTGATAATAGTATTGTAAACATTTGGTAACTGTAAAACATTAACCATAATTCTTCTACTACAAGTGCAAAGGACAGGAAAACGGGTGTGCAGCAATGATGAATACAATTAGGTAGCTTTGCTTCTTTCTTATCTTGTCTGCCCTCTTCACTGCACCATTTTAACTTGCATTAGGACAATGTGTTGAAATGGTGGGGGGCTAATGAAAAAAAGTCAGTTGAACACTTAAAAATGAAATGATTACCTTTCTAAGTGGGAGCTATTGCCCCCACTCCCTTTTGGCACACCTAATTTCACCACTCACCCCCGCCCTTTCCCATTGACAGCTAGGAACTTAGTCCCTAGCAGCTGTGCAAAAGTCGCAGCCTATATGCTTTCTTCCCACGGCCATCTGCCACCACTTGGCTGCTCTCTTTGACAGCTAGCTGAAACAAACAAGGAAACTGACCAGAAAAGACTACACAACTACAGGGGTGTGCACCTGCAAACAACCAGCAAAATATCATCATCAGTATCAGCATCGAATATGATTACACAATTTCCATTTTTTAAAAAAGAAGATAACCCCAATTGTCCTTTTTGAAGGCTTTGTCAGGGGGTGGGGTAGACAAGAAGAGAGTGCTAACTGGAGCAGAGAAGGGTATCTCAGGTGCTGCCGAGATACCTGCAGGAGGACAGAGGGGGAAGGAGTGGGAGAAAAAGCCAAGGTGAGCCTGATATCTGCCATGCATGTCATGAACTGATCTACAACCAACCAGCCAACCGTTGCTTATTTTCAAGGTGGCTTGCCATGATGTATGAATGCACCCATTGAGCAACGGAAATTCAGAAGTGAAATAATTATTGTAATTTAATAGCCTTCCAAATTATCTACATTTAATTTAATATCCTGCCAAATTAACTACAACTGCTCTAGTCTAGACGACATTTTGATAACTGCTGAAATAGCTAAGAATAATATCCCTCCAAATCATTCATATAAATGGCTAAGCTACAAGCATTTTAAAATGAACAGATTTAAGACTTGCACGTGTAATCGTGTCCTGATACTGTACAAAGCCTGTTTCAGTTAAACATGATCTTCTGTGACCTTTGTCAAATGGATTTTCATTTATTCACATGGCTTACACAGAAGGAGAATATATTTCAGGAAGAGTTACAGTTGCCTTTTAAAGGGTAAAATCCCAATTATGTATCAAAGGTGCTTTATGACACATGTAAGCTGGCTGAAGGTTTATTTTCCAGAACAGAAGCTAAAGCCAGCTCAAAAATGCATCACCAAGTGTTACAAATTCTCCACAAATAAAAAGCTGAACTAAAGAGCTCAATAAAAAAAACTTCACGAATGTCTTTCAAACTATTAGGTTTGCAGAAATGCACCTTTGCATATAGGAAGTGGGTGATATTGCTTATGCTAATAGTACATGTTCCATCTTTTGGAGCCCTAGGGATACAGCTTCATGTTTGACTTCATAGTTCTGAGCACTACTGTTCAGAATGAAATAAAAGCTTGTCAGATAATTTTGGATAACTTTTGTTCCTGCAGTGAAGATTAAGTTCCACTACAAAAGATTCAGTCCAGAGCACCATGGAGTCCTCAGGCTCCTCACCTCCCCAGTCTCACCTTTGATAAGGAAGAGGACATGGCAGAGCAGCCCTCAACTGAAAGCACTCCTGGAGACCACTGCTGAGTGGTCTTTGTCCCACCGTCCTTTCCCTGATAGAGGAATGTGAGCCAGGGTTAGTGCAGTTTGCCCCCCCCCCCCCCCCGGGGAAGGGCTCTGAGGAGCTGCTTTTCAGCTGGGAAAGCAGGAGGTACACGAAGCTGGGCCATGCCTTTGCGCCGTATCTCCCAGCCTCATTTGGAAAGGGAAAAGGAGCTGAATCTGGCTCCGGACACTGCCCGAGGAACTGCTCTTCAGAGTGCTACTTCAGGGTACGGCACCTACCACTCCTTTCCTGCTTGGGGAAATGAAGACAGCTCCCAGCTCACTTGATCCTTCACTGGGCAGCACAGATCAGCTGAGAATGGGAGGGGAGTACATTTTGCCCCCTATGTTGTGTGCTGGGAAGGAAGTTTTAACCCCCCCCCTCTCCTCCATAGGCACCAGGATGTAGATGAAAATTCTCCCCTGATCCTCTGAAGAGGGGAAGGTGACTGGGAAGGCTGTGTGCATAGAGCCATAGAACAGCAGAACAGAAAGGGGCCAGGAAGGCCATTGAGCCCAAGCCCCTGCTGTTGCAGGACACCAGTTTACACCATCCCACTCAGATGACTGTCAGGTTTTTCTTTCTGAATGGCTCTAGTGTGGGAGAACCGATGGTCTTGCTAGACAATTGGTTCCTGAAAACTGATTTTTAAATAATTTGCTCCAGAATTTTTCCAGGGATTGATGTCAGACTGTCTATTGTTCCCAGGTTCATTTATTTTCCCTTTTTTGGAGATGGGGACAATGTTAGCCTTTCTCCAATCATCTGCCACTTCTCCTATTTTCCAAGATTTACCAAATAGACAGTGGTTCTGCGACAGTGGTTCCTCTGCTAGCTCTTTTATGACTCTGGGGTGGACTCATTGGGTCCTGGTGTAAGGAATGTGTGTGTACATTTGTGTGAATGGAGTGTGAGAGAAAAAGTGTGAGGTGCCACATGCCAGGAGTTGACCATTCTGATCATTTTGTGCAGTGACCTGGACCACTTCTGGCATGTGATCCCACACATCCTGGCTAGGGGATAATTCTGCCGTTGGGCAAAAGTGACTTCCCACCCCAAATTAAAAGGCGGGGCAGTTGTAAGACAGGATTGCTGTATTCATTTGTCATGAAGTTTGGAACAGAGTTTAACATTGTGTTGCCATGTTGATCAATGTAATATTTTCCAATATTTCATTGGTTGTTTGTAACACTGCTCAGCAGGAAAAACTTCTAAAACACAGTAGCATAATGTGACACTTCAGGATAATTTTTTAAATTTGAGAAAGAGGAAAGCACTGTTGAATTTCCTGAGCAAGACTGCGTTTGCAGGCACATAGGCCCCTTAACCTACCAGTTTCCATGGAGACAGATACAAAAACGTTAAGTTTTGCAGACACTGCTTGGGTGCCAGTGTCATCCCCAAGAAAGGAATCTTATCTCATTGGGATTTACACCAGGAAGAACAAGACGTTTCTTGTTGCTGCTGCCTAAAACTGAATGCTCCTTGAAACTGGTCCAGCAGAACAAGGCTGGCCTTCTTCCTGCAGAATTTTGCAGTTTCCCCCTAGGCTAAACTACATTTTACTAGACAGTTTCCACGGGTTCACCAAGTCCAGTACTGAATACATGTACTATAATGCTTAGTTAAGAAACATGTATTGTGTACAGCAGAGTCAGAACAACAAAATCCTGTGGGTTAGATTTCCTTTTTAGTAAATATTATCGCTTAAACTGAGCCTAGTGGTGCCATGGGCACAGTCTACAAAAGCCTTCTCCAATCTGGAGCCATCAATTCACTTCAGGCCTAGCCTGTATGCCCACTGGTCAGGAACTGTGATTGTAGCCCAAAATATACAGAAGCCACCTGTCTGGAGAAACCTGTTCCTTCTGTTCAGAACCTGTTATTTTAACTGCTACTAAACTAGATTTTATATGGCAAGCAGTACAAACAGTACTGTGACCGGTGTTAAAGTATGCAGGACTTCTCATTAAGCAAAACTAACCTCAACAAGATAAATATAAATGAGAAAGTACCTCTTCGTTACTTGTCAAGTTCTGTATGGAGAAAGAGGGAAATGAAAGAATCTAGCCTTCCTTCCCCCTCATACTTCAAAAAGAAAAGAAAAGAAGTCTTCCTTTTTTTAGCTGGACTTCCGCAGGACATGCAAACAACACATATGGGAACACATCTTACCATTTGTCCCTCCATCCCATTTTTCATTATCTGTTCTTTGGCTTTTAAGAGTGGATTTACTTTTCATAAAGTAGGCACCCTCTGTTCTCTGGCTAGCCTTACCATTGCCACTGGCATAGATTACAGACATATAAAGATTGACAACTACATGCTGGGCTGGATCCAGGAACTGCCTCCTACAGGTAAAAGGGTTCTGCTCATGTGAAGTGCTTCTGCTGAATTGCTGGTGTCCCCCTTCCCACTCCACTCCATTCAGTAGGGTCCTCCAACTCCCTGTAGCATTTTCACAGGGTTGATGTGGGAATGAGGGGACAGGGAATATAAACATTAAATTCACCAAGTTATAATCAAGTTTATTTGTCAGCCGACCCGAGACGTTCTGTAGGCGATGGGATAGAAAAGCTTTAAATAAATAAATACCATTTCTTTTTGTCTTGGCTATAGCAGTACCAGATGATATCATTGTTCTGCATACTATCATAATTGCTTTTGATGAACTGAACAAAAGTTTGGGAATCTATACATCCCATAGCTCAAGACATAACATTTGCATCAACATATGGTGATCACCTGGCTTTGTTCTTCTATCAGTAACAATTTCAGAAGAGAAAAGGCTGTGTTCAAGCAAATTAGGACATGAGACTTAGAGGCCTGGAATGAAATATTTCTCACATTTAATATGAAAGTAATAGTGACTGAGCCAGAAGACTTCTTTCCCCTGCCACCTCTTTTTGGGACAACTAGAAACCACCCCTACAACAGATGTATGAAAGGATGTGGAACCAGACCACAGAACAAGTCCCCTCTCCCAAATGAAACTTTTTGCATAGCTTCTCTGGGCTATGAAAATAGTTCCGTAACATGGTTTCCAAATGTTCCATTTAGTCTGTACTGAATAGTGCAAACCAATATGGTTAAAAATAGGTATGAAATTAATAATTAATCACTGCCACTAACCGCAGAACAGCTGGAAACAGAAATTAAAAACTTGTAAATTCACTGCTAGCAATCTGATGATCCCCTTTATTTATTTATTTCTCTTACTATTTATCTACCACTCAATAGTGTTTCTGCAAGGGCCTCAACCAATTCTCCACTGCTTACTTCCTTCTCTTGTAGGTCTAAAGTCTAAAAGACTTCAAGAGAAGCTTTTTAGATTATGAAATGTGAAATTCATACCATCATCCTGTTGGTGGAACAGCCACCCTTAAGGTAACACGACTACAAAATATTCCTGGGAAGATGTGGCTTTCTAAAGCCTTCATGTGACAAGACAACACCGTGAGATTTTTGTGAATTTGCCTCTGTGTGATGTGTTGGTAAAATTCCTGACCTGGACTGGAAATATTTACCAATAAATCTTTGTTCAACCACATAGGTTACTGGATTATTTGTTTCCCTTGTCATGAGGATAAAACATGTATATAGTACCCTTGATGTGTTGAGATGAATGAATAATAAGCCTATACATTCCTTTATGTACGTATATGTTACATGCTGTCATTCCCATGTTACAAAATACATTTTTTCACCATGAGCCACATTTCCAGCAGGACTACTACTTTTTCTTGTGGTCCTACTAGCATAAGGATAGTCCTTATGCAAGATAAACCTGTACAGGTAGGCAAGCTAGTATTTGCCAGATATGGTGGGCAGCTGCGTTCAGCAGCCCCAGCCTGCATGGCCAATGGCCAAGGATTATGGGCAAAGTAGTCCAAAATTTCCACAGGGCACTAGGTTGCCTGTCCCCTGCATTATATAAACAAGGGTGGCACCGTATATCTCGAGTAAGCCCAATAGGCAATTGATAACCACTGCTTAATTAGTTTATTATGAACACTGAATGAGTTCAGACAACTTCCATTTATTATGGCGAGCCATGCAGAAGGCTTTTGTTCACAGAGATCCTTTGCATGAGCCCTATTTAACCAGGAAGATTTTACACAGTCCAGGAAACAGTCTCACAAACTTTGGTAGTCCTACAGAAAACAGAACATGTGTTACTGGCTGTGGATTTTATTTCTTTGCTCACTGGACAGAAGCCAAAGGAATCTTGAAACTATATATTCATGACCAATAGATAGATAAACAATGCTTCAGAAGCCTAGATGTAGAAGGCTTATGGAGAAAAATGTGTTATTTACTTACTGAGTTTCAGTTCCCAACAATAGTTCAATCTTCTCTCCAGCATGGTTACTTAGGACAGTTAATCTAAAGAGGTGATTTGCAGAACTCTGCCGAGAGTAAAGCATAGGCGTGCTGTTTTTTACAGGAGAAGAATTCAGCTCTTCGCTGTCACACTGTTCAACTAACAGCTGATCCCTCAAGGAATAATCTGTGACATTGTAACTTTCTTCACTGAAAATGCAAAAGTAGATGAGAGAGAATTGCTTAAAATCAGATCACTACTTAATGCATGAGAAATCGAGTTCTGCATTAGAGTTGATTTTCAATGTGCAAGTCCATTCAACATAATTATTCAGATATTTTCAGGAAAGTAAAAACAGAATGTTTGCAAAGCATCTGCTTGTCAAGAAGACAAATGACAAGTTAATCCTTCTGTCCAAGAAATTTATATGCCTTTGATATTCACTTGCTGATGCAAGTGCTCTTAAGTTGGTTCCATTTATAGGAAAGATGAGACTATCAGGCTAATGTCAACCGAGGGGGAAAATACACAAAAGGCATTCCTTAAATATTGTTTGATTCCCTCATCCACATACCTCTACAATATGAAGTAAGATCTTTTTTTTTTTTAGCAGTAGCATCCCAGTTATGGAACAGCCCTATCAGAGATGTCTGCCTCGAACCAACACTGTTACTATTCAGGCATAAGATGTAGGCATTTTTATTTACTCAGACATTGTAACTCATTGTAACTAATTTTTCTCAGAGATTTTAACCAATTAAACTAATTGACTACGGAGTTACTAATCTGTTTTAAAGATTTATCTACTGAATTTTACCTTTGGATTGTTGTATATTTTATTGCCCTTTTAGTTTATGTTTGTAAAGTTCCCAGAAATGTAATAAAACAAACACTGCTATGCAAATATTTTGATCAATAAATCAAGCTCCTAACATTCAAGCAGACTTTAAAATACAATAAAAATAGCACTCCTTTTTTATTCTTTCACTGTCGGCCTAATCCTCCCAAGTCCTGTGTTTTAGAGTTGAAAAATTAAGAAAGAAAAAAGATTTAACAGATATCTACCCCTCAAAACACTTTATGTGGTCATTGTCAGATTCCTGAGAACTCTATATTACACTTGGAAATGGCAAAATTCTTCACTCACATGGATGGAGGGTGAAAACGGTGAAGGCAATCCTATAATACCTACTCAGAATTCAGCTTATTCGCTACTTAGGATTGTAGGCTAAGCCTTGGGTGGGGAGAAGAGTGGGGGTTAAGGTTTCGGGCATAGTATCCATATACATTTATATAATTTTGCTTGTTCATATTTTATTTCTTATATTTATATACCAACAAGCCCAATGCAGCATACAAGACCCTCCTCCTCTCCATTTTATCCTCACAACAACACTATGAGATAGGTTAGGCAGAGATTCAGTGACTTGCTCAAAATCACCCAGTGGCTAAGTGGGGACTAGAACCTGGATCTCCCCAATCCCAATCCAAGCTTCTAACCATTATACCACACTAGCTTTCAATATTTGTATAATTTGTCCTCTGCATCACCAAGCCAAACACAAACCACCAGGCATGTCCCTAAACTCATATCCGTTGGTGTAGATCTCAGCAAGCAGTAAAATAATGGGGTTTCTCAAATAGCTGGTAGAGCCCCTTGCATGATTGGTTGGTTGGCTGACAGTGTTCAGGTTGGTGGGCCACAAAGTGGGCAGATCTCTTTCAGATTTTACCTCTCTAAGTGGGAGAATCCTGTTGTAAATGTTTGACTTGGAGGAGATTAGAAGATTCTTGGAAAGACTGCATTAGGAAACAGACTGTATATAATTTTCCAAAACCATGGACTCAAATGAACTGACAACAGACTGTATACTGCCTTGAAGTGGTACTCAAAAATGGAAAGAAAGGCTTTATGATAAAGCTACTTTTTGACCAGCATAAACAAACAGCTGAATTATAATAGCCTCTTTCTACAGAAATACAGAAGTTGCTAGTATGTACAACAGGTAGCAACTTTTTTGGCTTCCATTAGAAGAGAAATTTATTGATGAGAAAAAAGGATGAAGAAACTTCAAACTGAGCAGTAAATGATGAAATGACAAAATAATGATGTTTATTTTGGATTAAAGGATGCATGGCCTCACCAAGTTCATATGCAGACTGGCAGTTGTACTGGCTTGGCTGCAGACATTGCAATAACAATCCCTACACAGAATTATCTCAGCCATTCATCCAATCATCCATCTGTTACTTATACCATATGCTCTTAAACCACAGGAAACTAATATTAATCACATTTACAGATACATTTCCACAGTTCTCCAATGTTTATCCTAAACTTGGAAGTTTGGCTGTGTTGTAGTCCCTTCAACATTTAATAATTTCCCTATATCCCCTACATAAACCCAGTTCTGACACTGCATGGACTCAGGGACCACTTTTAATAATAGCTATATTCCACCTTTCAGCCTACAAGGAAGTAAACAAAACACGCATAACAAATTCAGAGCAACAGATAAACTGAACAGTTGCCACTAAAAATGAGAGCAGAATCAAATTCATACTAAGAACCATTAAAATCCAAACTAAACAAAACCATATTTACCACCAACCTAAGTCAGAGGAAAGCTTCATACTCCAAGCTTAGTTTCTTATTTCTTATTAGTGGCATTTGTATACTGTGTTAGCACACAATGTTTTATGGCTGGCTTATACCAAATAACTATGAAAACAATTTATATACAAAAATAAACATAAGCTGTACAATCAGAAGAAACAAACAAAAAAGCATGACACCAAAACAAAACTCACAGCATTTCAAAGTTAAATATCTTCACATTGAGACAATCATACTACAAGAATACTGAGTATCCTGTATGAGTAGGAGGGTGTTATGTGGATACTGAAAGGACTGCAGAGATAGCTCTTGGACAGCCAAGTCAAGCAGTTTGCCAGATCCCTTGCAACTAGCGTCACAGTGGCACTGTTTGGAATTCCCACACTAGAAGACAAGAGAAGCCTGCGCTTCTCCTATTCACCTATTTCTCAGACACATCGCAACTTCAGACGACATCATTACGCTGAATCTCCTGAACAAATGGAAGCTATATCAAATTATGTTCTAGGAAATGCTTATACTACATGTCCTATCAGTTTTGACAACATCCTGGCACAGTAAAGACTATGCTTCCTCCCATCCACTCCCCCATCAGGTCACTGGAGGAAGGATGTGTCAACAGCTATCTTGAAGATTGCCGGAATGGAAAGTTAATCCCCACCTCCACCTATATGCATTACAGGTTTGAAATGGGCTACTGTGCACCAACTGCAAATCTTCATGAAATGTGTCCTCATACCCTAATCCAAAGGATTTTTAGACATGAAAGACACTTTCCAGGCAGGGAATAATGACTGCTGCACAATGACAATTTCACAGAAAGCAACGTGATGTCAATTTTGTGGGAAAGATACATCTTGTAAGAGATTCAGACATATTGACAAATGTTTCAAAAAAGGGAGTCGGCCCAATTCTGATTAAAGAAAAGTATGCCTGCTTTTGATCAGCATGTCTGCACCTATCCAGATGTCAAGTCATTCCTATGGCAGGCAAGTGCTGAACCCAGTAGCACAATAGTTATTTTATTTTTTAAAAATTAGCACTAAAATTTATATTTATACAGCTTTCCACAATACAAAATTAAGCTTCAGAAGAACTGCACACTCTGCTGTATGCTACCTACTGTTTTGACAGCTTTATGCTAATCAAATGGTATATAAATGCTTTAAATAAATAAATTAAATTAATACCATAGATAGCTCAGTCACACTTCAGAGAAAGTCAGTGTGAAGGGATGGATTTTTAAAAGTTGTCTAAATGTCAGAACTGTCTGGACCTGTTCTTCATGAACTCATAAAGTGATCCAGAGATGGAATGGTTTAATAATTGTAAACTACCTCTAAAAATCTATAAAGAATATGTAGATATGACAACATAAGCCTGAACTGTGTAAACTCAACATACCTACAGAACAGGTATTATTTAACATTATATAAATAAAGTTGGTCGTACTCCAACTTTTTAAGTTTGCGCATCAGCACACTATGGGAGCAATTGTATGTATCCCAGAAAACATCTGCAAGGTAGTAGGAAAGTGGAATAGTTGCTATTTCCCCCTCCAAGGGATCTTGGGAGTAAGTGATCTGACCCCATTCCCCTGGCTCTTTGCAGCCAGGGATGGAAAAGACCCTTCTGAAGCTGGAAAACCAATTTCAAAGAGGAGAAAAGAGGGTGTTTTGGTACATGTAGAACTGGCCAGAGCAGCCAAGGGTACAAGTCATTCTGAGCCTCTTCCAGCTTCCTTCCCTGTCTCTCCACAGGACCATTGCTGTGCAGAAAAGACTGGGCAAAGATTGTTTCCACTGGTCCTCTTGTCCTGCTAGAGATAAATGGAAGACTCCGGTTTCAGAGGCTTCCATCTTGTAAGGGCACAACCCATAAGACTGCAACCCTAACTATATTTATACACCATCAAAATCACACACAGGCACCTGATTAAAATTAAAGCATTACCAGATGATGACCATAGCTCAGTCTTCTTCACTCTTTACCTCTGATAATAAAATATATTATGATGTGAAATTTTATATAGTTTGTAGCACAATAAACATACGTGCTCTGTGAGGAATTGGCTGCAGAATCTATTTTGCAGGACTGTCTCCCCCTTTGCCTTATCAATGTGTCTTTGAAGAGATACATTTAGTAAAGTGTACTTCCAAGAAATGTTACCGGTTACACTGAATACAAATGTAACTTAAGAGTAACTGCAGTTATTTGCAAGTTTGTTTGTTTGTTTATAAAATTTGTATGCCATCCATTACTTCTGTCTAGCAGGGCCCAGCATTAATGGCAAAGTTTCAGTTTTGGTTTGTGTTGTGTTATGCTGCTTTCTTTTGCTGGTAACCCTTGTTGACTCATTAACTGGGGTTGCATTTGCTAGAGGTCTTAGCTTTCCTTTATGCCATTCTTGATATATAACCATTATCATTTTATGTTCTTTATTGTTTCACCCAACAGAGCACTAATTGTAAGATTCAGCATATTGTAGAAGTTAATTATATGCCTTATGACTTACAGGGGTGATCAAACATTTCAGAATATATCACCTTAACTCCCATCCATTTAAAAGAAGGGGTTTTAAACAATTTTTCC